TCACAGCAATAGAAAAATAATTAACACAAGCTTCAAAACTTTTATGTGTATGGGTGTTTTGCTTGCATGTTTATCTGTGCACCATGTGTGCCATGCCTGATTCCCCAAGGTCAGAGGACATCGAATCCCCAGGGGCTGGAGTTACAGATGGTTACGAGCTGCCGAGTGGCTGCTGGAAATCCCATCCAGGTCCTTTGGAGGACCAGCCAGTGCTCTAACTCCTAAGACGACTCTCTAACCCCCTTCAGTTTAATTCTTTATTTCAATGTGATTCCCCCCCCCTTTCTTTGAGAAAGGGTCTCACACTGCATACCTCTTACTATTTTGGAACTTGGTATTTAGATCAGGTTGGTCTTGAACTCCAAGTGCCTGTCTCTAGAGTGCTGGGGTTAAAGGCACGTGCTATTATACCTTTATGGGTATGAGGTTTTGCTTGCACGTGTGTCTGTATAGGGTGCGTACGCCTGGTGCCCACCAGGGTAAGAAGGGGCACTGTGTCCCTTGGAGCTGGAGTTTCTGGTGGCTGTGAGCTGCCACTCACGTGGGTACAGCTGGGTCCCACAGTGCTCATAAGTATGGAGTCACTTCTCCAGCCCTGCACTGTGAAATTTATATGACACCAATCTACAATTGGCTCACTCAACACAGGTGGGCAGAGGACAACTGGGGACGATGTAAAGCATCGTCTAAACCCACAGGGGTGATGAGCAGTACAGCGTGGATGTAGAGTACAAAGTTCTGTGGAAGCCCATGCTCTCAGAGTTCAGAAGCAGGGCCCTTTGCAGGTGACAACTGGACAGAGGACAAACCTGAGGGTGCGCTAGTGGCCTGGGGGAAATGCCTCCGCGAATGAAACAGCGGGCGGGCGAGTGACATGAGAGGACCTGTGGTCTGGGACACCTAAGTATTCTCACGCCGCCCCCAACCACTCCGTGACCAGGCCTCCTTGTGTAGCTTAGGCTGGTCTCAAACTCTGAATCCTCCTGCTTCGCTCTCCTCTCATGAGTGTGTGCTGCCATGCTTGCTCAATTTGACTGTTAAAAAGCAAGGATTTCTGTTCAGTAAAGGATGCCATACAGGGGATCAGAAAGAATGACATCCAAGACTGAAGAGAGAGTTTGTCTCCAATGAAGACAGAAAATACAACTGAAAAGCAGCAAAGATGAACAAGTCATTCCCAGAACGGGAGCCTTTTTTGTCGTTTAATTTCTCCCTGGTAATAAGGAATTAAGGATAACCTAGGGTACCTACCTCTAGGGAATGAGCAGCTTAGGGTGGGCAGGGTACACACTTAGGAAAAACGATGCAACAGACGACAGAAGCACACAAGTACATGGAGCAATGCAGATTAACCCAACAGAAAAGGCAGGACACATTTATAGCAGAGTATCAATTGTAAACATTAAATCTGTACGTATGCAAAGTAACGCTACTTACCAAGATGCACGCACAAGGGAACATATGGAGCGGGACTAAGGACAGACAGAAAGGTAGCGTATGATCTGGGAAGAGAATGCTTTTAAACTGACACATTATAAACCATACATGCTTACATATGGTTTGGAATTGCAGTAGCCAACTGCCCAGAAGCAGTTGGCTACCTGTGGAGAGACGGACCCCTGCACCAGGGTAAGTTGACAGGCTGCTCAGGGACACAAGGTTCCCCTTCCTTTTAAGTCAGGAGTGTCTGACTCCTGTGATGAGAGCATTCTAGCTGGGTTTTTATCCAGTGATCACAGAGCATTTTCACAAGACCATTTCACCTTTGTGTTTTGGAGAAACGGGGAAGAGCGAGCATGCACTGAGAAGCAAAGACAGGGAAAAGAATGGCCGTGGTCCCGTCAGCGTGCGCTGGGGCTTCTGCCAGGTGCTCTCACAGTCTAACTCTCACAGTGGGGACACTTCTGCAGTGACGGTTCCCCTTCACAGACGCCACCCTACTACCAAAAACCCCAGCGGGGTACAGTGAAGGGACACATGCCAGGACACAGCAGCACATAGGCATAGGAGGGGCAAGCCATGTCAAGGCACATGTGGATGACACAGCAGACTCTGAGATGGCAAGATGTACTAGTGTATATATACCTGGAGAGGCGGCGACTGCCACTGTCCTTTGGAAAGCACAGGCTTTCCCTTCAATGCAACACCACCGTTGCTACGTTGCAGGGTCTCATCTCAAACTCAGTATGCAGCTGAGGATGACTCTGAACTCCTATCTTATCTCCTGAAAGATGAGATTATAGGTATGCAGTGTCATGCTCGGTTTTTGACCATTTTACGACGTTATCAAGTGTTAATTTTATTGACCCAGCCAATCTTATCATGGTGCTAGACTATATACTGTTACTGTAATGTTAGGAACATACACATTCAACCCTGGAGTTTGTAGAAGCAAAGTGCCCTTGTCAACAGTTTGTTAAATCTGGCTTGAGACTCCATCTAGGCCCTTTCCTAAACCACTTTCCATTTTGCCGCCTTCAGGTTGAAAAATAAAGCCTGCTTCCTCTTTGACAGATTTTCTTTCTTTCGAGACAGGGCCACACAACCTAGCCCAGGCAGGCCTGAAACTTCACGTGCAGATCAGGGTGGCCCCAGACTTTTATGTATGTCTCCAGTCTAGGAACACTTCCTTCTGGACCCCTGACCCCCATTCAGGTCTACAGGACAGGACTGGTCTGACACACTTATTTCTCAGCTCTCTAAACCATTAGCGTATTCAGAAAACCTTTACTTCTCTGGATGACTTTCTTCAAGAAGTCCTCTAAGATCCATTTCATACAGAATAAATGGTGAAAGCAGGCTATACCAGTAACGGTGGCACACAGATGTAACCTAGCATTCAGAAGTTTGAGGTAGGGACTGCAAGTTCAAGGTTGGTATAGGCCACAAAAAGAAACCCTGCCTCAAAAAAAAAAAAAAATTTTTTTTTTTAGTACATGTGCATAGTAAAGCTACTATTTATTTACTGCTTTGTGTAAGACAGTGTGCCAAAAAGTCACTTTATTTAGAGAGGGAGTGCGTGTGTGAACACAGGAATATGTAAGGTTCAGAGGGTAACTGTAAGGAGTTGGTTCTCACCTTCCATCACTTGGGTGAAGGCTCAAACTTGACAATCAGGCTTGGCAGCAGGAGTCTTTATTCACTGAGCCATCTGGCTGACCCAGTAACAGATCTTTTAAATGCTTTGGCTGATGACAATGGCATCTTTCAGGGCCTGGAGAGATGGCTGAGTGCTTAAGAGCACATTCATTCCTCTCCTATAGGACCCAAATCAGATGGCTGAAAACTGCCTATGACTTTGGCTACAAGGGTACTCACATGCACACTCAAATACCCACATGTGGGCACACACGTTTACATGTAAGCAAAAATAAAAATTTCTAAAAAAATACAACAGTGCACTAAATACATCAATGTGTGTGTGTGTGTGTGTGTGTGTGTGTGTATATATATATATATTTATATATATATACTGACAAACGGATGACGGTCACTGAGTAATTACGATTACGCCATTTTTTTTTTTTCTTTCTTTCCCAAGACAGGGTTTCTCTGTGTAACAATCCTGGCTATTCTGGAATTTGCTCAACTCAGAGACCCACCTGCCTCTATCTCCAAGTGTTGCAACACCACAGTCTGGCATGTCGAATTCTTTAACTCAGGTGTTTTGGGGAGGCATTAAGAGCTTCCAAGGCCAATCAGAATTAACAGACCAGGACACAGACACAGCTGACGTCATCTGAAAGCCTTAGTAGTACTTTTCATATTCAAGACATCGAAACTAAACAATGTAAAAGGAAAACATGAGAACAAGCATTCAAACCACTGTTCATACTTTGGGAGTTCCTGTCTCTATTTTCTATGCACAGATACATATTCAACACACACACGCCATTGCCTACAGGAAGGACCTAGTGAGCCTGCATTCTAGAACTCTACCAGTTGCCTCCACCAGCCACTCAAATGCACATCTCCCAGCAAATCTTTTTGCCATTTACTCCTGACTGCCAATCCCTGACCTGTCCTCAGAGGCCCGCCCACCTAAAGCTTTCTCCACCACGTGGAGCCTTCCCTTTTTGGCAAAGGAGCACATTTTTATACACAAAGTTTGAACAATTATATCTTGTCAAGTGATTGCAAATGTTTAGGAACACAGTGAGCAGGCCGTACCCTTTCTTTCAATGCCTGTGGTGCCTTGGTACAGCACAATACAGACTCTCAACCCTGCTGACAGTGGAGACTTTAAACTCAAGTTAGCGAAATAACACAGGAGACACGAGAGTAATATTTACAGTCCTCTTTATTTAATACAACAAACACGTAACATACACAAAAAGAAAGAGAAAACAGTCATGTAAAAGGTCCTGTCACAAAGGACAGACAGGAGACATCTATTCCAAATCAAGTAAGACTCTTATTTCAAAGTGGGTCTGCTAGTTATACCTGGAATATGAACAAAGCTGCTGCTAAGTAAAAAGAACAGAAATCCCTGCACTGGAGGAGTGCATCATGGGACCAGCACACGTTCACATTTAGGAGTGTTTATGTTTTCACATATCCAAAATTCATCTGAGGCCTTATGAAACATGAGGCTCTTTTGTTGTTAGTTTTTCCGTTTTGTTTCTTGTTTTTTTCCTAAACCTGCCCTTTTTTTTTTTCTGAGGAAAGCTATGAGTTCTAAAACCAGGAACTGGTGAAGTGTAGAAGACTTAGTGCTAGGTTATGGAACTAGACCCAGATGTTAACAGCAAGATGGCTGTGGAGCAGGCGTAGGTTCTAACACACTGCCCATTTGCTAGTGCTGCACAGACCACTAAAGGCAGGTGAAGGGCTCCTCCTCGCTCAGTTTAGGGGCAGTAGCAGCAGTTTGTTCATATTCCTGCCAAGCTTAACTAGAAATTCAACAAGCACCAGTTTGTCTTAAAAGACCACACACACACACACACACACACACACACACACACACACACACACACGTCATCACCACCCCCTTTTATTAAATTTATTTATTTATTTACTAAAATAATACAAAAAAAGGGAGACAGGTATATTTACAAAACTCCATGGCTGGTACAGTACATAATTTTTAAGACACACTAAATGCTACAATCTTTCAGGTCCTGAGATTATTACAAATACCAACTCAAAGCTTGTGTTCAGGTCCAGTTTTTAGAGGAAAAAGAAATCCCAAAGTATTAAGTCACACACTTATCTGAAATACAGCATATATTCCTTCAAGTTAGCAAAAACACACCTTGCTACAAGCAGATGCAGTACAGTAACGGGGGCCTGTCCCTAAGGACCATCAACATCTCAAGCTCTTGTTAGAGACTGGCTTGCAAGCACGCTAGCATCTGTGTAGGGTGGGGCTGACTGCAGAGGAGGAACTGTTTCCTAAGTGGGAGCAGCTCTGCAGAGCAGACACTCAGGGATAAGTAACTTCCTTTCTTCCTTTTGCTATTCAATAAGTCTCCCCTAATCTACACTTTAATGGAGGGCTGGAAATACACGCTTCGGCAGACTAAACTCAGTCTACTATCTTCCAGTTACAGCAAGAGGGTCTGCAGGTCCATGGTGATTCTTAAAATTATAACCCTTGCTCACAAGCAGAGAGAGAAAACACCCATCTCTTATCACCTAGGTTAGGCTTAACTTCATTATTTGGGGAGCAAAATTCTCACCAGCCAGAGATTTCTTTTCCTCTCCTTAAAGTCTGATACTATTTAAGCAGAGAAACCTTGGGGAGGCTCAAATTAACATGCTGCCCCCCCAAGAACAGTTTAGCACTCAAATATTTCCTAAAGTAAGGTAGTTTTTTTCAATGACAGTTGACAACAGATCCTACAAAGCTTGGCTCTCTTCTCTGAATGCTGAATCAGAGGAAGCTGTGTGGGAGGGACACACCACCTCTACTGGGAGAAGGCCCTGGGTGTTCACATGTCAAAGAAGATATATAATTTATTATGGAGGAATAGCTGAAATGTCAAGAAAGCCGACCAAAGATGGATCAACTTTCTAACTATTTAAAACAAACACTATTGTCAACTGACATTTATTTTCCTTTTTATGTTTCTAGCTAAAATTGGGCAAATACTTGGTAATCTTGCCAGTGTGTGTGTGCACAAGGTTTTTGCAAACAGTAGAGGTAAGCAAGAAAGGAAGAAAGTTTATGGTTATAAGTACAGAAAATACAATATGGTTGTATGTAAAATTTGAGCACAGGTTGTTAGGCAGGCAATGGTTTGTCTCGGTTGCCGTCGCTTCCTAAATGTACTCTGAGATAGAAGATGTTATGTCAGGTAAGCCATCTTATCTGATGTCAGCCAGAGCTCTACCACCAAGCATCCACCAGCCAGACTCAGGGAACTTAAAATTGGGGCTAAGGATTCAGTGGTCTGCTTGGCTCAGACAGACCTTAGCAAGCCGGACCATTATGAGTCCCTAATGAAGACTGTATTTCTTTTGCCAAATCTTGAAAAGTACTGGTATTATTTATTGTTACTCTGCTCTGCTGGGTAGGGACCTCCATCCAGGCTTTGCACATGCTGGGTAAGAGCTCTACTACTGAGCTACACCCTCAGCCTATGAGATCTATTTTTTTTTTTTTTTTTAACATAAACGAGAAGAGAAAATACCCCAATCATCAGTAATCTGCAAACTCTGGACTATGTACAGAACCTTAATTGTATTACTGAGACTTCAAAATGTGTTCCTGACTAGTCTGGGTAGCAGTGTAAAAACTACACTAAGTTTGAATAGCAACTACTATGAAATGGGAATACACAGGAAACAGAGAAGTAGAAACCTTACAACACAAGGAGATCACAAACAATCCCTTTAAAGTAAATGGGAAGAGTGTACAAGAGGAAGTGTCATTTGGCATCAGGCTAGTCAGAGGTATTTCCACTAACTAAACCCTAACGATGACCCATGCCTGTGTCCTGAGCTAAGATGTAAACTGTCCCCTACACGACTGTTGTCGTGGAAAAGTGAGGGAGAGGAGGACGTGGAAACAATTTACCTTTTCTCCTTAGATCTAACAACAAACAACTAACTTATACTGTAGAGGAGCAATTGCTAATTTCAGAGCTCCACCGCAAAGGCAAGGATGAAGACTAAAAGAAATGAAGAATTAAACACTAACATTTGAAGCTGTTTTCAGTGAGAGCCTGAGCCAGCATTTCAGCTCTGTCAGCCAAAACACTAAACTTCTCAGAGTTACACCGGGTGACTTCATAAAAGTGCAAGCATGATCCACGACACTAACTCTAGGTCTGCACAGGCAAAGGGATTTTCAGCGAGGTTGTTATATAAAGTTCACATTTTAGGGCAGATGAACACAGACAATATATCTATTTTAGGCTGCTGTTACTCTTCCCCAGAAGAAATACACACACACTCAACAAATCCCTAACTTTATTACTTTGGGTTGAAATCTTAACATTTGTATTGAAGAATGGAACAAGAAGAAAATGTGGGAAACGGAGAGTATGCTTATGTGCACAGCTGATTCTGAAAGGCTATGAACTAAGGCCTAATCTGGAGGAGGGGGGAAAAAAAAAAATCAACAAAAATCCCAAAAATGATTTTAGGAAAACAACAAACACCAAAAAATCCCCTAGGACTAGAGAATGACCAGGTCTGAGTCAGTTCTGGGGTCAGCCCAGACGTGCTGGCTGCTTATTAGGCCTAGGGCTTTCTCCTAACTCACTTGAGCTGAGTAAATGTTCCTCAACACCCTGCACTCTCTTTGCTGACCCTGAATATGTGCTGTAATTTAAACTCACTCATACTCTTTCTCACACACTACTTAGCTCTAACAAAAACTGCAGCATCCATTTGTTCCTGTTGTTTTAAAGAAAAACATTTTATGCATTATTACTTAGTATGCATGAATGGAAGGTGAGATACAATGATCTTAATCTCCTCCCAGGAGCTAAGGAAATCATGTTTCCTTGTACCCTGACCGTCCCCTTTGCCACAGCTAGCAAGTGAACCCTGTCATCTTCTCCTATTTTCCTACCGCCTGAGCAGCTGATCGCTCTGACTCACTCATGGACTGAAGAAGCATGAACTTCAAAGTGAAAAGTGTACACAGCTGCCTAGGTGTAGACATGCCCCATCTCCCAGGGCAAAGGTGGATCAACCCAGAGACAGGAACAATGTGCAGGGTCTGATTTACTCATCAAGCAAGTACTACAAGGAAATTAGATTCAGAAGGAAGAAGAGGGAGGATACAACCTTTCAGGTCACTTATCAGCAATCCAAACTTTCTCTAACTTTACTTTGACAACCTTCAAAAACATCACGTAAGTAATAACATCATAAAAGCTTAGAAAAAAAAAAAACTATTGGTAGTTAAGAAACTTAGTGTCATCCCCTTTGATTTAATCTGAAACTAATAATTCTACTACACTACAAATATGGTATGTTTCAATATCAAACATGTATCTAAATTAAATCCAGTGATTTTTTTCAAACATAAAGACCAGAGGGTACTCTTTATATCCACTATAAGGAAAACATTTGTTTTCAACCTCTGCAGGAAGATAATACTATAATTATATAGGATGTTCTAGGAAAACTCAAAATATTTTTGAAATAGTAAAGTCTCTGATATCCCTGGGAGGTAGGCGATTATTATTATACCCAATTGTCTCATGGGTAATCTGAGGCACGAAGGTTAAATGACATCCCCCCTAGATGAAGCATTTTAGGAATTAACACTCAATACTGATCCCAGCTGCCTGATGACAGCTCTGCTACTAGGAGCTTCTTTTTGTAGCCACAAGTGTCCTTTTCCAATTAAAATTTTACTAAAGTGAGGTCCTTTGCACATGTATTTGTACTGTTTAGAGAATTGGTTCGTCTTAGTCTCTTTCAACATGTTATATCAAAAAGAAAAAAGAAAAAAATCCTAGAAAGTTAGGTTACTTTGCTCAAGAAAGATGTCTAAATGATCATGAAATCAGAGCAAAATCTAATCATCTAGAAAATAAAGAGATTGAAAATCTCTCAAGTATGTTGTAGATGAGTGTTTCCTCATTATCTAAAATCTAAGTTTATTGAAGTTTTAAAAGGTATTCAGCTCTATAATTTCTTAAAGATAATTTTCCAGAAGAAAACACTTTTTAATAATGACATGGGTGCTAACTCCCTTCAAAGTGTATTCGGATACCACTGCATGGTTCTAGCTCTAGCCCTCCGTGTGTTTAGTCTTGTCTGCATAGGCCCCACATCAGATTGACCCACAAGATGCTCTTGTTATCCTGATGCCTAACACACTACTGCTGCGAAATTTGAAGGGTAGAGAGAAGTGGATTGTATCCAGAAATAATCAATGAGTCCACCAAGTTTATTATGCTTGCAATAACCAACACATGTATGTTTTATATATATATGTGTGTATATATATATATACACACATATATATATATATACACACACACACACACACATATATATTAACTTTTACAGATACTCAGAAGGGGAAGCCAGCATCATGTGTAAAGACAACTTCCCGATCTGCCCGTCTGAATCGACCCAAAGCAATGAGATAAACAAGGTAGGAACTCTGCAATGTCAAAAGGGCAGTGCTTAGAAAGATTGCCATGGAACAGCTGTTCCTGGCTTTACACACACTGTGCATCTCGTTGTGTTCACACATACAAAGCAGAAGGAAGAGTATTATTAAAACATGACATGATTTTGGCAAGTCTGAGATTCTTTCTCCTGAATCCCCTGACTTAATCAGTATGTACTCTAGGGTGTTTGAAAAGTTTCTAAAGAGGGGAGAAAAAGAAAGAAATAAAAGGCACTTAACAAAGACAAAGGCCTGAATTGAGCATGGTTTAGAGGAGTAATATAAGCATTTTACCAGAGATAAGAAATTATTTACAAGGAGTTAAACTTTTCCTTTAAAGTTTTATAAAATAAAATTGCATAACATGTCTGTGATCATTTCTCTACTACTGCACTTGTTTCCGCTTCGCTTTTACAAAACCAAAAGCACCCAGAGCTAACACAAAGTCACACATGTACAACGAAAAGTCAAAGTGCCCTTCGGAGCAGGATGGGTCGGCAGAGCAGCCACGCTGAAGCACAGCACAGCTCTCAAGTTTGGCCTGGAGTAGAGTTTTGCCATTATTCTATTTTTCAATTTGAAAAATAAAACAAAGACCAACAAACAAAGGAAACAAATTCAAAACCTAGGTAATAATAACAATACAAGGACCAGTGTGCTTTCATAGTACACTCCTAAAATAAAGTACCCTAGTTCTACACAGGGGTCAAAGTACATGACAAAATCTCCTATAAATAGAGAAGTTAACCAACACAGGCAAAGTCATTTTCCAAATGTAGCAGCAAGTAGGACAGATAACGAGTTCTAGAGACGATCCCAAAGGACAGAGTTCTCAAAACCAATGGCAGTTGCAATAACAGCAGAATTCTCATTTCAGAAAGTCTTGAACCAAGTAGAGGTGGAAAGGGCTGTGGGGGAGGGCAACTAGAGGAGAGAGAATAAGGGTGCCTGTCCTTTCCGTCTCTGCATAGTAAACAATTTAGATCTGCTTTGGGAAAAATATCCTGGGTTAAGATCAGTCCCAATAAGCTGTTTCCAAGCAGGTGTCAAACCCACAGTCTTCAAACAGTGTGTGTCCAGTTCTTCCCCAGCGTTGGGGCCCAAACAAGCCTTATTCGGTGTCTATGACACAAAACAATATAATTTGGGCTAATAATATCCATCAAAGGGGTGGTGGGCATGAAAGAATGTACTAATCGAATCTTCTTGATTTCTTCAAAGTGTAAGGACTTTTGTTATTATAAAAAAACTTGGCTTCTTTTCTCCAAATCTTTTCTCCAGAATGTTTTAAAATCATGATTTCTCACTCTGTTCTCAGAAGCATGAGAAGAATTATAATTTAATTTTAATAGAAATTATTGCTTGCATTTATCTCGGAGGCTCTCAATGAGCTTGACACTTTGCTCCCAAACAGTCTCCAACTGAGGTCCAGCACCACTGTCTGAGGACAGCTCTGCTGACTGTTATTGCTTGTGAATACTGAGGATCACCTTGTATGTACAGTAACAGCTTATACATCAGTGAAGGCAATTTTAAATGTAAGACAGTTGGAAACAAATAGCTTAATCTTCCTGAATCAAGTATCCCATGAGTGGGATCTAAGTGTGCTGATTTACTTCTGCATTTGGATGTTGCTAACGTTCTTTAGCGATACACATTGCTCTACAGATATCCTTTCCAGTTATTCACCATTTGAAAAATAACATAATTTGACTTTAAGTGCAAAAATACAGTATGAGTTGCAAGTCTCTTGTTTAAAAATAACCAACTTATATGCTTGTTCTTAGTAATAAAAACTGTAAAGACAGGTAGCCATAAAGTATGGACACCACTTTCAATGTTATGATATAGAAAGAAATATATTTACATGTAGAAAGGACTCTGAATATTCTGTATAACATGTAAGGTTGCTGAAGTGGGGATTCTTACAGCAGTCCTTAGGGGAAATCAAGACTGATAGGAACAGAAGATACTTTACGTCTTATATTCTCAGATAATTTTATAAAATGACACAGGAAAGAGAGTTACTAATCTTGTTCTTTTCTAATGACGGCAAGGAACCACCAGGGCCTTCATATAGCATGGTTCAGAATGGATGGGTTTAAGAAACACACAAACACAGGTATCAGCAGGAAGAGAGACTAATTAATATCACTGACTTCTCCCTGGGAAGAGGAAATGAAGCTCAAGGCCACCTTCCGAAGCACACTCCCAGAACATCAGCCCAGGCAGTATTAGCAGGCATGTTTGAAAACAAGTCATCTGGGACTGGAGTAAGCCAAGAACTGAGTAAGCTTCTCTGAGAGACCTTTCAATGAAACCTAACATGTTCAATTCAAGTTCAAACTCTCAGCTACACCCCTGTATCTTTCCAATTATCTACCAGGGCTCATATAGCATCCATATTTGCTTTATTCATTAACTAAATTACTACGGTCAAGAAATTATAGCAATGATTCCTTTCTTCCTTCCTTCCTGACCTTTTTATTTAATTTTATTTATTTATTTATCTATTTATTTATCTATTTATTTTTGAGGCCGGGTCTCACTGTCAGCCCAGTGCAGACTGGCCTGGGTCTCACTGTCACATATTCCAGGCTAGCCTCAAACCTGAGATCTTCCTGCCTCAGCCTCCTGAGTACTGGGATTACAAGCATGAGCCAGTATACCCAGCTTCAATGGTTCTCCTGAACAATCCTTTCCCCTTACTGTAACAGGTTCTTGGAACTAAAGTTCTCAGTCACTGACTTTTTGCTATGAGGCATGTCAATGTGACTCTGAAGTCACATTATAGGCATAGAAATCCAAGCAGACCTGTGGTTGGTTATTACAGTCATACGGGCTTCTCAGGGCTTTTGCCTGTCAAAGGAAAATGTGGTATGGCTAACACTCTCGTCTGTATGAACTGAATGATACATGGTAATATGTAATGAGAATATGAAAGCAATGTTGCTATTTTTACCAGGCTAGCCTGTCATACATAAACTAAACTTATATCACTTAGAGTTTATGCTATCCTTGGATAATTTGAAAATACTCAAAATTTTAAAATTCAGGGGACACCATAATGTAGCCGAGGCAAAATAGAATGTATCCAAAGAGAATTGTGTATTTATCCCTTCACATCCTTCGTTGCCTCTATTCACATATAGAAACCAGAATTAAAGAACCTTAATTATCTGTACCTATAGGCTTACTTGAACATCAACACTGAGTAAATTCTGTTAAAAGTTTCAGATTCCAAATGGTGCAAACATTTTTACTGCAAAGGATATGGGGCATAAAGCTTCATTGTGACAGTTATAAAGGGTGGTCCCTTGTATACAGTATTCCTACTGGAGTTCATCCCTTTAAAATGGTATGCTGTTATGTATATACCATTTGGTTGACCCACAAAGATACAGATGCTGTGCATGCTCTTTATATCAACAGCTCTAGTCACCTAAGGTACCACTAGTTAAGAGTCCTGTGCAGTGAGGGAGCTGGGCACCTGCAGTTCTTGGCAGGCTACAAGGCAGACGAGCAGCAGAGATACAAAGACCCCATGTATCAAGAGAAAACGTGAGACTCACTCCTGCACATCGGGACTAGAAATAAATACTAACCAGTCAATACCGGATGACAAGTCAGCTTTAGAAAGGGGTTCAGTACCTACTTCTGAATGGAGGAAATAGACCCTTTTACAAAAAGGGGATTATCGACATTTTGTCCGTTAAGAGCAACAGGCTCACTTTCCTGACTTTAAAAAAATCTAGAAGATATAGTGATATTTATCACTGTGCTACAGCATCTTTGCCGACACATCTTCAGTCTTACACTGGGAACTGCTACACTCTGGAGAAGATTCAAGTTTGCTCAGGACACTTGAGTACAGTACTCTTCAGCTACTGTATGGAGAACATCGTGTGACTGACTGTGGCAAACCTGTCCACTACACACACATGACTGATTCTCCTCAAACTGGGCTAATTCTACTTTTAGTTGCTTTTATTATGCACTTATATGTAGACTGTTCAGATCCAACCCCCAGGATGGATGACCATTTACCCAAATCCTCTCAACTTCCTTCTTTCTCCCCCAGGTTAAAAAAAAAAAAAAAAATCAAATTGATACTTCTGTGGGTTTGACAGCTGAGTCTCTTTGAAGCAGGTTAACATGGGAACTTTAAGAGACCAAAGGTCACTAATTTTGCACAAAAGCATTTCTTCCTCCTGCACCTGGTTTTTCTCAAGTAACATTTTCTTTCCTTTTCCTCCTCACCACAGTGCTCGGGACGAGAATGTAAACATCGACAGAAACAGCAGCCCTGTGACCACATAAGACTTTCCCATCAGGTAGGTCCCATCAGCCAGTCAAATGATTCCTCTCTTGATCGCTAGGAAGTCACTGAGATTTCCGTGGTAACTTAGTATCCCCTTTACTTTGGCCTCCATCTGAGAAAAGAAATGTTAAATTGATATGGGTTGGCATGTTGTAAAAAAGAAAAAGAAAGAAAAGAAAAAGAAGGATCAGTTTATCGTGAATTACATTTCTAAAAAGATAACCTTTATTTCACATGGAGATAGCATTACAGAAGGTGATTAAACCTAAGACATAGAAGCCCAGTTACTGAAAACTATATGAAAACTACTCCAGCTGGTGTTTACTAATTTTTTACCTCATAACCATGTCCAATGCTGGGTTACAGAGGAAACAAATCACACAACGGCTACATCTTTTGATTCATTTGGAAGACTAGGTCAATTTTATTTTCTTGTAAGTGGAATTAAATACTTTGCCATAATATGACATGTGATAATCCCCAAGCATTATGAACACATCACATTGGTAGTGAAGAAAGTCCAACTAGATCTTTGTTTAGGTCCTAGCCTTGTGGTACAGGATATAACGTTACTGCTGGGCAGCTAAGTTTCTGTATCTACTATGCTGGTGCCCTTCACTATTTACAAAAAATATGTAACCACTCTATGTGATCCTCAGCCAAATACTTCTAAAATGACTGGAAGGAGGAGAGAAAGGGGGTACCCAATGACCCAGAGGGCCAACAGAACATAAAATCCTTGTAATTTCAGAGCCCTACTAAGGAAAATGAAGACCCAATGACAAGCCAGGTCTGAGAGAAAATGACAAGGGAGGAAACTCTTCAAGGAAGAGGAATGAATGGGAACCCTAAGTCACATGGCCAGACTCATGTCATAGCCAAGTATCTTGGAAAACAAAAAACAAAAACAAAACAAAAAAAAAAAAAAAAAAAAAAGTTCTATTAAATAACCAGGGCCCTTTTCACTCATAGTAAGATATGTATCTATACATATATGTATTGTAGAGAGAAATGAATTGATTAATGGAATAACCTAATTTATAAAATGGTACTATTAAAATAAGATTTTGTTCAAAGTAACTTTGGTTAATTATCAAAATAAAACAATTCGATTCCCTAGACTGTGACATTCTTTACACCAGAGTGTAGTGTAGCATGGCCCATGGACAAATCTGGTCCACCATTTGTTTTTGTCATATAGTGTTATTGGAAGTCTGTTTTACGCACTTGTTTATAAATCATTTGTGGCTATTTTACATTATATTATAATGATAAAGTTAGGTAGCTGTAAAAGATTATTATAGGGACTGTAGAGCCCAAAATACAAAATACTCAGGCTTGGTGGCACACAGCACACAATGAGTTCATAGGTCAGTATGGCCTATAAAGTAAGTTCCTGGCCAGCCAGGTCTACACAGTGAGACCCTGTCTCTGGAAATAAAAACAAAGAAAACTTCTGATCTCTGTTTTAGATCAGATTAAGAGAATAAACACTAGCGGGTGACAGTGGCTATGCCTTTAATTCGAGCACTTAGGAGGCAGACAGGAATATCTCTGTGAGTTCGAGGCCAGCCTGGTCTACAGAGTGAGTTCCAGGACAGCTAGGGCTACACAGAGAAACTCTGACTCAAAAAACAAAAATAAAAGAAAAAAGAATAAACATTAATGGGCTCTTACTATCAACTATTTTACCAGATGAGGCTCTTTCAATCAGCTATTTATTAGATTCCCAACATTATCTATTCAGTATAATGGACAGGGAAAACATTACATATTACATACACATGCTTCAGTGTGAGGTAAGAGAATTAATGGTGGAGCTTTTCAAACTGGCAATCCTACCATTTAAACTCCAAACTCAAGTTCAGTGCTTTATACTGTATTTTTAAATGAAAAGTTTTAAAATTTAAACTTTAGTACTCTTTCTCTTGTTCTAGAAGAGAGGTGTAAGCCTAGAGCTGAGCACCAGGGTCTTTTGAGCATCAGGAATTGTTTGTCTACTTCCTTGGTGGTCACACTGATGCCAAATATGAGCTCACGTCTCCACTGAATCACAGAACAGGGATATGTTCAAGCCAAAGAGCAACAAAGTTGGGGGGTTTATGTCCCTTCTCTCAAGGGAGAGTCCTGGCAGCTGACCACACGAATGGCCATGGGAAGAATGACAGTCGATTGCCTCTAGACTGATGCATAGCTCCAATTTCTACCCTATGCTCAAGAGTAACCCAGTTACTACATAACGACAGTTTATTCTAGTTCTAATTGTATGTGCATCATGTATGTGTCTGCTGGTGTCCGTGAAGGCCACAAGAGGGCATCTTGTTCCCTAAAGTGGGACTGAGCTCAGGCGTCTGTCAGAGCATTATAACTGCTGAGAACTTGTGTGTGAGCATGATGTGTAGGGGCATCCGCACCGCACCGCAGTGTTCACGGGAAGTGAGAGGGCACTTTTGTGGACTTGGCCCCTTCCCTCTTTCTGTGTGCTCTGGGGACAGAATTCAAGTACTTTTGCCTGCTGAGCCCTCTTGTCAACTTCTGTCTATGACTTTGGTTAATTAGTTTATGAATCCATGCATAGGTAATGTGGATAAAATAAAATCTTTTCCCTTCGTCTCGTTTATCCCTTTTCTCTTAAAAGTATTTGTTACCACTGAGGATCCAGTCAAATGAAAATTTCCCCACCGACATTTTGATCAGTCATACTGTTTGAAGAACATTTAATCAGCATCTATACACATTCGTAAACCACAGAAACAAGCAGCTTGCTTACCATTAAATGCTTGCTGTACGTGTGCAGGCAGAGGTGAGTGGGAAAGTGTTGCTGCATGCTGAGTTCCTGGCTGTAAACTCTTTAGTAAATCTGAGAGGAAAACAGACTTGTCAGTTATCTTTAAGGCATGACCCCCCTTAGCTCAAACTCAGAATCTGTTTTATGTAATGCCAGCATAAGCCTCAGCTCCTAGAGCTTTCTTAACACCACCTAAGTTGACTACGTAAATACAGTCATGAGCATGCTAATCCCCCCCCACCACACACACACACTGACTTTCTCCTACATACTTCATTTCAACAGAAATGTGGTGTGGACAGTCCGTTTGTTCATCTGCAACAGAGCCCCACTTACTCTGAGTTAGGCTGTGATGGAAAGCGGCTGAGGTAGATCCCGAGGTGGTTGTCACTCCAGCTGTGTCCGTTCCAAAGCCAAGTAGCTCCAAGGGAAACTGGAAGGGCATGGTCACGGGAACAAGGCCACCCAGCATCCCAAAAGGAGTCACAGTTTGATTTGTTACAGACAAAGGTGATGTCATGAGAGTCAGAGGTGAGGCATTAGCCAATAATGATGCTCCTGCTGTGGACTGTGTAGAAACCAGGGGTCAAAATAGATAAGAAATAAAGCATTGTACCTAAACCGATTTAACATCTTCATGGACACGAGACTGTCTTTATCTGTTCTAACAAATGAGAGAAAAATCAACACGGAGGTGAAAGATAAAACCTAGTGAGTTACCACTAATGGTTCTGAAAATCTGCAAATACTATTTGAAAATTTTTTTGAAAACATCTTTCAGCTGTTCAATACCCATTCTTGCATGTAAGCCTCAAAGTCTAAAACGTCTCTTCTCCTTCCAAAGCCATGGACATGAGTCACTTGGGACTCTGCAGGCTCTGTCCTGGAACAAAGCCTGTGGCCACTGTTCCCATCTCCTGCCCTGACATCTCCGCACCTGCAGCAGGAGAGGCCCTGGAAGCCAGCTCTTCATCCTCAGAGCTGGTAACTGCCCAGCCTCTACCACAAAAGGCTCCAACTGTGACCTAACACTGCACCTCCTCCGTTCTTCCCATAATTCCACTGTTACTTCTGGATCTTTCCCGTCTCTCGGGAATACTCGAGTATTACTTGTATCCCTTTTTAAAACTCAAGCTGTGGACGACCAATCAGAAATCTGCTAATGCTGGTTGAGCTTCATGGGAAACTACTTACTTAAATATACTCTCTGAGCTAATTCTTCCAATGATTTCCTACGCAACAATTAAGTGATTTTTTCCCCCCACTTCTGACATTTCTTCACGGTGGGCACTTACCATCAACTTTCTTAGAAGCAAACATTACACACTACAGTCCTGCCACTAGGAGTTTTCTTTTATACATGTAATGCTTCCTTAGCTAAAAATCTTTTTAGCTAAGGAAGTTTTAACTGTGGTCAAGAAAAATTATTATTATTATTATTATTATTATTTTTAAATTTGAAAGATTGGAGAGATGGCCAGTGATGGTGTCATGTGTCTTTAATCCCAGCACTTGGGAGGCAGAGGCTAGCATCTCTCTCAGGAATTCAAGGCCAGCCTGGTCTACAAAGCAAGTTTCAGGCCAGCTAGAACTTCCAAAAAAAAGTCTTTAAAGTTAAAAATATACATTATTGTTGGTTTTGTGCTATTTTTATCATAATACCTCATTAATTAAGGGTTGATGTTTTATCTTTGTTTTTCAAACAGTGTCTAATTATGTAGCTCAGGCTGCTCTGGAATTTTAACACAAGCAAACCCTGAAAACTGAATCTCCCAGCCTCAGCTCCTAAGTACGTGATTACAGACATGCCTCAGATGCCACCAAGTATGGTGAGAACTAAAGGTTTTATTTCTTAGCATGTAAGAAAATATATGTCACTTCACCACACATATGCGGCACGTTCCATACCACACCGGAACAAACAGTGAGGTTACTCTGCAGAAGCCATCTTTTCCATTTCCTCCTTTGCTCGTCTCCCGTGTTACCACTGATATCTGTAAGCTCAGTCCTGACCTGTCACCTCAATTTTAACTTGTGAATCACAGTTTAGTGGGTAACACCACTTGGATTCCCAACACCCAACTAACCTGACACTTCCAAAGCTGGAACCACCCCGCCCCCAACACATCTTGCCATCAACAAGCACATCTTTTCCAGGACCTTGGGACTACAGCCTTGGTCTGCAGGCCTCATAAACTAAAGGAGTTTCTTCTTCATCCAACTTTCTCATGACGCCTAAGCAGCAACCCTCAACACTTGGTGTTAAAAGACACTTTGAAGAGCTGCCAGTGTTTTCTTTACTACGGCACTTATGACACACAGCGGGCACATGTAAGAAAAACTACCTAGTTAGAAACAATACTGTCTTCAAGTGGCTAGGATAAAAAGGACCCTGTGTCAGTTTAAAAGTAAGCAGGGATGGAGGATGGAGAAGTGGCTCAGTGATGAAGAGCACTAGCTGCTCTTCCTAGAGGTCTTCAGTTCAATGGCTACAACCATCCCTAGTGGAGAATGACGCCCTCTCCTGGCATAGAGTTGATAGAGCACTCATGTACATTAAATAAATAAACACACCTTTTAAAAAGGTTAAGCAAGAATGGTTCCTCCCTTTTAAACTTAAGTCTGCTGTAGTCTCAAGACAGTCTCCAAGGCTGTGTCTTGAATGGACTCCTCAGTGAAAACCAGTAAATAACACAAAAGAGGTCTTTCTGCAAGAGTCTAACTGAAGCACCACGACAGAGAAGATAAATTAGGCCAAGTTCCAATTTTTAAAAAAACTTGAATACCAGAAATTTAAAAACATGCTATAACTAATATTATGAATTTTCCAAATCCAATTTTGTTTATGACTAAATTAGAATGCCAAGTGACCTCAATGTCATTTAGGAGATTAAGAGACACTTTCAGAAATAGAAAATCCCACTGTTTTATAACATATGGAAGCACAGAAAAGTTGTCAATATTAGCTAGATAATCAGAATATGTAATGTCCATAATCAGATATGTTTTCTATGTCTTCTCAGTCTTGAGAAGAATTATTAGGCAGGCACTTGATCCTGTTTGGTGAGATAGTTGTTTCCCATTCACCTAGAATAATATTCTAAATTGGACCCATACCATCCACCTGGTTAAGACCTCCCAACAGCTTCCCTTCTTCACAAACTAAACCCTAGATCCTCACTATCGCCTATCAAGTCCACTCAACCCGATGTAGGTCTATCCCCAGTTTGGTCACAGAGCACAAGGGGTTTCATTCTCAGGCTCTTTAACTCGTCGTTTGTAGATTGCTGTTTCCTCTAGCCCATACCAATTTCCTGTCTGCTCTATACATGGCTGTACCCTGTTCTTTCAACTCTCAGCTCAACTCAAACACTATTTCCTTTAATAGGCCTTCTGTGGTCCCTTACGTTAGCAATAATCAATTTTTAACATTTTTTTCACAGCACATTCTTTATTTCTCTTCTTTCTTTCTTTCTTTCTTTCTTTCTTTTTTTTTTTTTTTTAAATAAAACTGTCATTTAGCTTATTTAGAAGATATGCTCCACAAGGGCAGGTACAGTATGTTATTCATCCCGGTTCCCCAGCACACAGAAGAGAGCCTGGAACACAGTGCCCCGTTTGCTTACTGAATGATGGCTTTTAGAATCATAAAGTGGCAAACACAGGGTAGTAAAGTTGAAGGGCAAGAAAGAGGAAGAAAGTTCTAGAAGGAAAGTAGATAACGCTAATAATCTGGACTCAGGAATATTTTAACTTTCAGCCTTTGTTAAATGACCCATCTTTCCCACTGTGCTGTGGGTAGCACCGCTGATGCCTTGTAGACAGACAGGAGGCACAGGCTTCACAAGAATGGACCCAAAAGGTATTCCCTCATAGAGGGAAATCTGCTTTAAGCGCCTGGGTTCAACAGGATCTAGATTTCAGAGACGCTACGCCATATGAAAACCAATACCCAATGACAGAGGCGATATGACATTAATCAACTGTTGACCTTTCCTTAAGTCAGACCAGTAAGACAGAGAAAAACAGATCAAAGAAGGCAGGGACCTTGGAGCTTCCAAGTCAAACAGCATCCTGGGAATAGAAGAGTACCAGGCAGGAGCTTGTCTGGAATAACAATCATTCTTCAGACAATGAATGGCTTCTTTTAGGATAAATGATAATCAAATTCAAGATGGCCAGGTAGAGTTTAGAGGTGAAAAAATGCAATGGACAATTTAATCAGACACTTTAAGTCAATGAAGTAAAAAAAAAAAAAGCAAAACATAAAACTAATTTTTAAGTAGAGAAAACTCCCCTAAGATTTTATAATAAGAAAGTAAATCAAGTCATAACTCTGATAGTGAACAAAGAAAGACAAGAGTTGTTATCATGGGAGAGTTAACCAAAAATCTGATTACTATTTCAGCAAAATGGTACAGCTACATGACAACTATAATTCTTATTTTTATAATGAAAGTCACAAGATAACATAATGGTAACATTCATAAAATTAAGAGTTTATAATTCCCAATTCCCTCTTTGAGACAAGGTCTCACTGGTATGGAATACACTATGAAGACCAGGCTGGACTCAAACTCACAGACATCCACCTGCTCTTGCCTGGGATTAAAGGTGAGGCACACCACACCTGGCTGTCATCATTTTTGCTAGCTGGACATCGTAGTGCATGCTGATGCCCCCAGCACATGAAAGGAGTGACCTTGTTCAAGGCCTTGTCTCAGAAACAACACGAGCAGGGATAGTAAGGAAGGGATGGATGGGGCCAGGCCAGGAACTACCTACCACCTTTGTTAGAATACCACTGTTTTCCTTTGATCAAATTAAAGGTGAATTTTAGAAAGGATCACCTTTTTAGCGAATATGAATAGTAATGAAGACTAATTCCCAGACTTTATAATGAACAATTTTAACAGATAATTCCCATTATCCGTGTTTGAGCTTTGTTGTTTGCTTCTCCCCCATTTGTCTTCCCCCCTCTCTCTAGGGTCTCACTAGGCTGGACTTGAACTTATGGGCTCAGGTGATTCTCTTGCCTTGGTGCTGAGCTGCAGGTGAAGAACATCCACGTATTTCCTGACGATGAAAAAAGTTGTTTCTTTCTTTTTTTTTTTTTCTTTAAAAACAGAGACCAAACATCAATATGGATTTCAACCACTGAAGTGCTAGTAAATTTAATTTGTTCTACATCAGTATACAACCCTGGACCCATGTGAATGGAAGAATAACTTGGTATTATTAAATATGTATTCAATACCAAGTCTTACAAAACACTGAACTGCAGGAAGTCTCTACAAATAGCAAGGGGAAGGCTTTTCACTAAATTCCTACTCCACAAAAATAGGAGCAGCACAAAGTTAAAGCATTGCCTTAGACAACTCATTTCACAGGTCAGAGTCATGTTCTCAAAGATTTAGGACTCAAGAACTCGTACATCATAAAATACTTATTTTTAAAGGTATTTATAACATAACATTGTGTAAGGCAGTTTCAGCCTTAAAGCACCCTACCTGTGAAAGGTGATGTGCACAGGCGCTTTTATTTTCCTGTCTCTAAATCTGTTCACAGTGAATATATTAATATTAAAAAAGCCACATCAGTAATGTGAAGGGCAAGCCTCTGAAAGCCTCGAAATACAGTGAAGGTAGAGAAATGAACACAATACAAGGTGACATATAAGTCAAGAAATAGATGAACAACCCATCTGGTGTGGTGGTCCAAGGCTGGCACCCAGCAGTTATGAGGCTGCAGCAGGAGAACCGCTTAAGTCTGAAGCTAGCCGGGGCTACAGAGTGAGACCCTGTCTTTAAGAAAAGTTTTAAAGTAACCCTAAGCTAAGTGGGGTTTGGCAGCACATGCTAGGAGCCTCAGCATCAGGGTCAGGCAGGGGTGCAGCAGGGTCCCAGCCAGCCCGGCCTAAGTACAAATGCCCAGTGTCTAAGCAAAGCATGGGATCAGAAACAACTACCAAACAGAGAGTAACATAGTCTTTGTTTTTTATTTTAAAAAAATTAATTAATTTATTCTTGGGTGGGAAAACTGTGCATGTGTAGGCCAGAGGAAAACTTTTGGGAGTCTGTTCTCCTTCTACTATGTGCGTCCCAGGGATCAAACGCAAGTCATTAGGCTTAGCAGCAAACACCTTTACCTATGCAGTCACCTCACTGGCCAAGAGTAAAATATTCTTGAGCTGAAAAATTAGCCAGGTCAGAGGTTCATCATGTCCTAAGTACAAAATTAATGACAATTAGATAAACAGAGCATTAGCTAAGAATACTGGGATGTAAAGGTAAATTTTATAGCCATTTCAGCAGACAAAATATATTACTTATAAAGGAGAATAAAATAATCAGCTTAGTCTCACACTTTTGAATAATAGCACATATTAAGTAAGGGATTTGGAGTAGAAGTTAGTAAGCCAGAAGTCTACCCTCTTGTAAGTCTTACAACACAGGAGGCAGTGATTATGTGTGCAAAAGTAATGGTAAAGTAAATACCATTCATGTCCCTTCTAGCAAAGAGTCCGTGGCTAATTGAGAGGCAAATTTAAACTACAAACTGACAAATTGGGAAAATGGCATATAGGCATTCCAACATTAAATGAATAGAATTATACAAGAGTAACTAAAAAGTTAATGTAAAATAAAATTTGGAAAGGATAAACACTTAAAGAAATAATGCAAGTGTATACATCTGATTAAATAAACTAAAAAGTTTGCTCAAGGGTTAAGAGCACTTGCTGCTCTTTCAGAGGACCATAGGAGGGTGGCTCCTAGCAACCGAGTCAAGGGCTGACATCTGCTGGTGACTCCAACTCCAGGGAATTGGTTGCCCTCTTCAGGCACTTCACCCAACATGCAAAGCATGCCCCCAAACACATTTATAGGCAGGAGAACAGGTAGAGAACCAACTGCGTATATGTTAGATTTTTGCACTGATACCCTGTTCTTGCTTTTAGTAAGAGAGAGCTTTTGGAGATTTTTTTCAACAGGGTGTCACACAGCCTATGCTGGCCTTAAACTTGCTGTATAACAAAGGTTAGCTCTGAACTTCTGATCATCAGGGACCACACCTCTTAAGATCTGGGATTGTAGGGGTACACCAGCATGTCTGGCTAAAAGATAAAAGTTTTAAATATATCCTCAAGTTTTGTTTTTCCAAACAAATGTTAAGGTAAAATGAGTCTGTTCCTGATGTTGGGGATTGAACCTGGGGTTTTTCATGTGCTTGGGTCAGCTAACACCCTCACCTTCCCATCCTACCTTGTAAAGTTTTACTGTTTTATTTTTAGTGAGACTTTGTTATGCAGCCCAGGTTAGCTTACAATTCCCTGTGTGTAGGCCAGGCTGGCCTTCAACTTGAGTTCTTCCTACTCCACTCCTCCATGTTCTAGGATTACAGGCGTTATGGCACCACACACACCCTAACATGACACTTGGTTGACAAATAAAAATGCACATCCCATGAAACCCTCACCCAGCACTATGATGGCAACATTGAAAACACTCCATGGCCACAGCTGCTATCAGCCTAGTATAAACACCGTCTATATGTTGTATATGTCACAAGGGAAGTCACTAAGGTGACTCAGAACGCTTGTTCAATCTTACATTTATCACATGAATGCACAGTACATACATACCTGCACACTGGCTGCTACCATTGAAGACCCTGAGGCAGAGGCTGGTCTATGTGGAGTAGACAACGGTTTAGTAGCACCCTGTGTTCCACCTCCTGCTCCCCCAGATAGACTAGTCCTATTAGCTCCACTCGAGTTAAGGTTGCTACCTCTGCTGGCAGGTACATTCATTGGAATTCCACTCAAGCTGCTCTTCCCAGCAGCAGTCCCAGTGGGTGACGAGTTTGTTAGTTTAGAAGGGGCCGGAAGAGTTTTTGTAGATGGAAGGCCAGGAGTGCGATTTGAGGGCAACAAATTCAGAGTAGGAGACTGTCTGCTGATGTTCACTCCACTGGGCTGTTTGTGGACGGGGTTGTTACTAGTGGAGTGGCTGCTCTGGGCTACTAGTGTGTTTGGGCTGGAGGAAGTCGGGCATACAGCAGGCTTGGGGGTTGGGTTGGATTTAGAAATAAGTTTAGTTGATATTGAAGGCTTAGCTGACAGAGAGGGCTTGGGTGAGGCAGAAGGCTTAGGTGAGGGCAAAGGTTTGGGAGATGTGGCAGGTTTGGGAGATGCCGCAAGTTTGGGAGATGCAGTCATTGAGAGGGGAGGTTTGAAACCCTGCGTGGAGATTTGTGACACCATAGCCTTGGCTAAATAGTTACTGGAGGTAGTGGTACTTGATGCTGTCCTAGAAACCAGGGGGTGAGGCCCCTGTGAACCATTTCCAGGTGATGGGGTAGACAAAGGGAGGCGATACATCAGTGGCTTATCTGAAGTCTTGAGTAGTTGGGACGAACAGGAAAGTTGGGGGTTATTACTCAATTTCACCACTGGGTTGGTCTGTGATTTACTAATGGTGGCTTGTAATGGAGACACATAGTTCTGGTGGACAGCTGAGTGCTGGTGCACCTTTGTTGCTTGTGTTAACGGAGAAGCATCTTGGGCCTCTGATGTTCCCAGAGCATGAGAGGAGGCAGCAACTTGGGCTTGGGAGGAGGAGACATGAGTCTGTGAAGAGGAAGAAGCATGTATCTGGCTGGACCTTTGCAGTCCTTGCTGGAGTAGCCTGGCTGGCAAAGGTTCTAAGGAAACTTTAGGGTTCTGAATTGAAGAACCAGCAATAAGGCCTGAAGAAATGCCAGTATGAGCTAAATCCTGGGGTTTCTTTGGTACTGGCCCTGTGTGACCGGCAATAAGACTTGACGAGTGTGCAGTCTGAGTAGAATCTAGTTTTTTGGGAGTAGCCAGTGGTAACTTACTCATGATACTTGCTAGTTTTTCTTCTCTCAGTCCTGGACGAGGTTTTGTAGTTGGCACGGTTAGCCTTGAGCCAACTGAGGGGCCTTTGTTCCCATTGTTGATGACAGCTAAAGCTTCAGATACAAGATCCAGTGAAGACGAGTGGAAAGAAAGGTCTTCATCCAGGGAGTCATCGAGGCAGATGGTTTCTTGGGCTGGTGCTGAGCTCGCACTGGCCGAAGCAATGGTGGATGTGTTGGAGCTTATGGAAGGACCGCCGACTGAAGCCAAAGATACAGGGGCCTTTGGGTCTTTTTTGGGGCTACATTCCTAGCATAAGTAGCATTACATTGGAAAAAATACAGAGAGTTAATTACAAATTTTAAACTTAGTTTTTACAAAGATTAAGAAACTCTTATGACTAGAATTATTTTTTGGATGTTTTCATATAGGTCTGTTTACAGCTCTGTCTGTCCTGGAACTCCTTATGTAAACCAGGCTGGACTTGAATCCACAAAGATCCATCTGCCTCTGCCTCCACAGTGCTGGTATTAAAAGCATGTGACACTGTACTAGACCTTGCTTTTGTTTATTTTTAAGCAACAAATCTTGATAAGACTGCCAAAACCAAATCATGTTGAGAACCAGCTCTCTTCAGAACACATTTGTGACACATTACATTACCATGTCCTTCCAAGTCATATTAGCAGGACCTGAAAATGGGGTGCAGGGCATTGACTGGGGGAGCCATCACTCGTGAACTAGACTTCTATCACACATTCAGGGTCTACTTCAACCCCAGTGTCTCAGAAGCTTTATTCTCCTGGTGCTTGGAAGGGACACTGCCTTTTATCAAAGTTACAACTTCTGTCTACTAAGGTTTACTGGGACGCTGACTCTGGCTCCCTGTTTCCTTGCATTTCTACCGCTACCCATCACCAGAACATAGGTAAAGTAGTGAATTATTCAACAAAACTTAAATCATATTTCTACTCATTATGGTGGGCATTACTTGTAATTTATCCAGCATGTGTTTAGTGTCTCTTATGAGTAAGGCTCTGTCCTAGGAAAACAAAGGGATTAGTAATTAAAGTGCTAAACATCTAGGTGAATATTGTCTGTTAAATTAATTTTCTTAAAATTCAAGGAAGAGTGAAGAGAATTATAGTTTAAAATATTCAAAGAGTAAAAGAAAAACATTAGCAGGTAAGAGCAACCATTTATTTGTTGGGAGAAATATAAAGTACTAGACTAACTTCATTTTTAATGTAAAGACACAGATTAAGACATCATTTCAAAGGCTTGATTAGTTCCTTAGAAAGAAAAGGTCCCAACCCAGAGTCTTAAGTACTGATGTATGCAGCCACATCACTTACCTTCGGCATAGTGGGGAAAGAACGGACAGGAAGGGTCTTTACCATCACCTCCTACGGTGTTACAGTAAGTAAGCTGTTAAGAATGCTGTCACACTCTAACTTCCATAGCACTTGTCCTAAACTTTCATTTTAAGAACTCCATCTTGAAAATCTCACTACCTATAGAAGCATGGGTAGAATCCCATTAGGGTCACACTGTTGGCTAAGATGAGAGGGTAACACATGACATGTATGCTCACACATGTTGACAATCCAAGTACACGGTTGCTAAAACTCCATCACCAGAAGAGTGTCAGGCTGAAGCGGGGACAGGCGGTAGCACCAGCACAAAGTCTCTACTTAACTGTTGGGGGAGGCAGAGTCTCACGCATTCCAGGTTAATGCTGACCAATCTTTGCTTGCAGCCCTGGTCCTCCTGCCTCTACCTCCTGGGTTACAGTCCTACATTACCATGACTGCTTCATGTGATGTGAGGGCTTCAAGGGTGCTAGGGAAGAACTTACCAAAGGAGCTACACTCAACCCAACTACACTTTTTAGGGATGTTTTGAGTACCTTTCCCACATCAAATATTAATTTTAGCAGTAAAAGAAGACTTGTTCTAGGCTAAAGAATACAAGAATAGAGGAAGGCTCATAATCCAGCTTCTCGTAAGCAGTGCTAAAATTATTTTATGTTCCTTTTTCTTGCAGGTAGGAACAGGTTGAGACAGGGTCTATGTAATCCCTGAGTGGCCTGGAGTTATGTTTTAGCCTGGCCTCAAACTTGAAATTCTTCTGCCTTTGGCTCCAGAGTACTGAAATTATATGTATGTATCACCACACAAGCCCAGGTACTTTATGTTCTGAACTAGCAAATCTACTACCTATGTGTGGTGGATTTAATTGTTTGTGATGTCCACTGACTCTAACCTGTACTAATAAATCCTCTTACACATTCTGTATTTCAGAGAGTAGATAGCATGCGTTTGTTGTTTTTTGTCTGCTGTTTTGGGGGCTTTTTTGTGGTACTGGGATTATGCCCAGGGCCTCTGGCATGCTGAGTATATGCTCAGTTTAAGATAAACCTACAGCTTGCATGTTTGACTTGTACTATAAATAGGTAAGATTCAGATGTGGGACATTATATGGTGTAGAATCTGTTTTTGCCTGCTGCCCTGGGTCACTGCTAAATCAGTAAATTACTCAGTCATCTTATGCAAGTCATGCAAATTAAACCCCTAACAAAGGGGGCATTTTCAGGTAGGACTGTCTTTCTCCAATCTAGAAACCATGGCCAAGACAGACTTCTCTCTGCTCCTTTCCCTGTCATTAACTAAAGAGGCTATTCTTTCAGGGCCTTTTCTCTTTCTGATGTACTAACCCCCAAGAAACCCACTATTCTGAGAAGACATTGAAAAGAAAGCATAATGTGACGGGTAGTCTCTCCAAGGACAATGAAGGCTCAGCAATAGACCATCAACAAGGTAGTTCCTCGCTGACTTTGGAATTTCATCTTTGTATGTACAATTCTAGCTATTTTCTTGGTGGTGGTGGTGAGGGGCAGAGTTTATCTGTGTAGCCCTGGCTGACCTTGAACTTAGAGATCTGCTGGCTTCTGCCTCACGGGAGTCAGGTATGTAACCATGCCCAACTATTCAATTATGTATTTAAAAAATATTGGCTACATTTTATCCAATATTTCTATGTGAACTTATGAGTGCAAAACCCCACAGCTCCAGAACAATCTACTTCTCAAATGGGCTTTTATGAAGTTGAAAACAAGCAACTTAGCATAACACCTATTAATCTTCGATAAACATCACATGCTCTTTTCTCCAAAACTCTGCCAACACTCACCATCAGGGCCAACTACAAATGTGCTGGACTCTTACCTTGACTTTGGGTTTTGATGCAGGAATCACCTTTTTCTTTGCCCTAAGATAAAAGATTAAAATGAAGGTCATTTCAGAAACAGTTATATGTTAGGAATTAAAGCAGGCTACCCTAATTGTTTTCATTATCTGGAAAACTCTTTGAAGGAACAAACTACTCAGCTCTCATGGGGAGTCAGCAATATTTTTCTAGTTTAGATTGACTAAAAGGCCAAATAATTACTAAAATAATATAGATAGGAAAAAAATAAAAACCATATATAAAACAAAAAATTACTCAAAACAGGTTAGCCTAAGGAAATTCATTTCAACAGATTGATTTGTAGAAACAGCTTCAAGGTCTGCCATGCTCAAATCAGGGCAATGGGTTATTAATGACATTTTGCTGAAGAAAAAACTTAAAAGGTTTTGTTGAAAATTATTTTTAATTGCAAAAAATCAAAAATTGTTAGAATGATAACAAATTACCTAATTTAATTTAGTAAAAGGCAAGAAGGAAGCTTTGTAAGTTTGAGGTCATCCTGACCTACATTTATGAACCAGCATGAAACACCTGGCAACATGGAGTTTGGGGAAGGCAACAGTAATTTTCTATGCCTTTTTGGGAGGAAGCCATTAGAGCATTAAGACAACCATATTTACCTGTCCTATTTTCTGATAAGGAACAAAACAAGAGAAAACAAGAACCCTAATAATAACAAAACAAAACACAAAGGTAGTAGTGCCAATGGAACTATTTTTAAAAAGCCAAAGAGAGGACAAGGATGTAGCTCAATGGCAGAACACTTGTCTGGCATGTAAACCCTGGGCTCAATGCCCAGCACCGGGGGAGTCAAAGACAGTGGCATGTACTCATGACCCGAGCACACTTGAGAAGCAGAGGTAGGGTCACTCGGAGGTCCTTTCACCATGGTTCCAGGGCCCCGATTCAGACATATATGGCAAATGCTTTTATCTACTGAACCATCCCGCAGATCTAGAGACCTGCTTTACATTTTTCCTATAGCCAGTTGTGTAGAGAAGGAAGACTGTAAGCTTGAGCAAGGCAGGGGAGGAACATATATGGAAGTATGGAAGTGCCCTGTGAGCTCAGCTCACCCAAGGCAGGTACCCATGCAGACGGTAGGAACAAAGGGGCACGACTGAGCTCCCAGCTGCATGGCCCCTACAGCAGAAACCCAATGACTTCAAAGTCAGCAGTCAAAACAACAGAAAAACAAATCAAACACAAAAGAGGGTGGCAGCCTTTTAGAGATGACCTAAAAGTCTTACCTAGGTCAATGAGCAATTTAGCAAGATTTTTGTTTCTTAAAACCAAAACATAAGCCAGGCAGTGGTGGCGCACACCTTTAATCCCAGAACCTGGGAGGCAGAGGCAGGTGGATCTCTTGAGTTTCAGGACAGCCATGGTTAAAAAAAAAAAAAAAAAAAAAAAACCCAAAATAAAAATCAAAAAACAAAACAAAAACCTCCTAACATGAATAACAACACATAGAAGAAATCTGGAGTCAGTATTTACTCACGGAGCAGAAGTAAGATGATTATGTACACTCCGGCTTTCCTTAAAGAGCATTCTGGAAGAATGAGAAAAACAAAAGTTCTTTTTGTAGGTAACATGGTTAAGTGCATGCAGGGTTTTGCTGTGTGGCTCAAACTAGCCTCAAACTAAGTATTATAGCTCAGGCTGACCTTGAATTCAAGATCATTCATAATTTGATTTTTGTTTTACCAAGCAAAAGTAGTTAACAACTTTATCCAATGAAGTATTTCATGAAAAGGTTTATATCATTTCTATGCATTTACAACTTTTAACAAATCAACAGAAAAGGTTGTTTCTGTTACTTTATGGATGATAGGTTGATAGAGAAGTTTTTTTTTTGTTTTTTGTTTTTTTTTTTAAATTCTCTTAAAATTCCTCTAGCCAGGCATGGTGGCACATGACTTTAATCCCAGTACTCAAGAAGCGGAGACAAGTAGATCTGAGTTAAGGCTCCATGGTCTAGGTAAACCTGGCTGGCTTTGAATTCACAAAGATCTGCTTGCCTCTGCTGCCCATGCACTGAGATTAGAGGCATGCACCACCATGACCAGAAATTTTGTTTCTGAAGATGGATTTTACAACACAGGCCAAGCTGACCTGGAATTCTCTAGTACACGCTGGCCTCAAACCTGCAACCCTGCGGATATTCACAGCAGTGCTAGAGTGCTAGTCACAAGCGTGTGCCCCCACATCTAGTTTCTGTTCTACATTAACCATGGGCTTCCTTTCTATCTGCTAAAAAGCCCTCAAGTTTATAACCATCATCTCCCATCTCTTTCCCTAGCACTAACCTCAGAAGCAAAAAAGAAAAAAAAAAAAAAAAAAAAAAAAAAGGGCAAAGGAAAGTAAGTTTGAATTAAAAACAAACACAAGAGCGGGGTGTTGGTGGCGCACGCTTTAATTCCAGCTCTTGGGAGGCAGAGGCAGGCAGATCTCTGTGAGTTCAAGACCAGCCTTGTCTACAAGACCTAGTTCCAGGACAGCCTCCAAAGTTACAGGGAAGCCCTGTCTCAAAAAACCACCAAGCCCCCCCCCCCCCACCAAAACCCAAAAACATCGTTATACCTATCTTATTTCTGGCTCCACAAGGCTTGTTTTGTTAAATGTTGATCTGAAATACTCTACATGCAGGCACGCGCACACACGTTTTTATTATTTATTTAGTTAGTTTAAGGTCTCTTAATTTATTAATAGAATACTGAACATGTAAGTTCATATTTTAAATAATTTTTCCTTCCCCCAAACCCTCCCATGTAACACCTCCCAACACATAAGTTCTTAGCAGAATCAATGTGATGTGTGTTTGTGTGCAAACACATCTTTAGTGACAGCAAACAAGCAAACACAGTAAGTCTAGGAAGGAATAAAGTCTAGGAAGGCCCGTGTCTCACCTGGCCTGCATCCAGCCTTTAGGCCACAGTGGCTTCACTTCTGTCTCCATGAAGGACTTGAGATAATCCTCAGCAGACTGGCTTTTATTTGGCTCTAATTCATAGCATCCCAATTTGATCTCAACCAGGTTACATAACAAAGTTCTGAACAAATTAAAAATAAGATTGACACAGAAATGTGAATTGTAAAACTATTTTAGAGTAAGACTGTGAGGCAAACAAATTGGTGGGAATAAAGAATAATAACTAAATTATTCAGACAATGATAAGAGAAGTAAATTCTAACATTGGTAATTTACTGCATTACAATCAACCCTTACCATGAAACAATGGCCTTTGGTACCTTTACGTGAGCAAAGATTGAAAGGGATAGTTGTCTCCCTGGGGTACCATAAGCAGACAATTGCCCTTATGCAACCAGAATGACATCACTCCACTATTAGCACAGCTGACAAACTGTGTTATATGAAGACCGAAGCACCAACACCCTGAGGCCATTTCAACGGAGTACATGTCTTGAATATGTTTTCTTAGACACTAATCTTTGGTTGCTTCTGATCTAATCCTCCACTTCTGTGGATTTTTCTTGTATCTTTGCCTAAAAATGAAGAATGACTAACAACGCTTACCTAATGGTATCATCCCAGTGGAATTTCTTTCGTGGGCCTATGACTCGTTTCCCTGGCTTCTCATCATCATCATCTTCAGATCCATTTTTTTCCCGTTCTTCATCTGCTTGCAACCTAAAAAACGAGTAACACTTTATGAAGCCAAGTTTTAACCCAGAATTCACAACCATATGGTCCTTAAATTTGTCAGTTGCTCAGCCAAATATTTACTCAAAACAGAATAAACAGGGAGCTGTATTTCCACATAATATGGTAAATCTCAAACCAGATGAGTAAATAAGGCCTCTGAACTGTAATACAGAGGTACAAATGCTCATCCTTTAGATCAATTTCTTTGTCCTCAGCCCAGCTTAGTCATATTTGTCCATGTGAAATGCCTAACCAGCAGTAGGGTCTCGGTGTGAAGCCTCGGCTAGCCTGCAACCTGGGTCACTCTGCTGAAACAGCCTAGCCGCTGCTATTAGGACACACCCCATTAGGCTGCTGTGGCTCTCATGTTCACATCCATACACTAACCAAACAAAGCTGCTGAGTGGAAAGTGACACATCACTTAAAAATGTTCAGTCACATCATTTCAATGGTAAGCGTGGTTTCTAGAGAATGACGACTACTTAAGGACATTAACTAAGCCGGCAGTGGTCGTCCACATCTTTAATCCTGGTACTGGGGAGGCAGAGGCTGGTGGATTTGTGAGCTTGAGGCCAGGCTGCTCTAACAGAACTGACCCCTGAGACAGAGCAGACGTACATACTTGGCACACTTGGCTTGACTGCGAGCCTGGCAGTCCTCCTGGTATTTGAACAGCTGTTCAGGCATGACACTGCTTACAGCCAGCTTCAATTTCTGCAGAGGTTCTCTTAAACGATCATCCTAAGGGGGGAAAATATATTTGAAGGTTTTTTTCTTTTTTTCAAATATCCTAACAAAACTTACTCTACAACCAGAACTTCAATAGGTGAAATCTCACATATTAATTATAGACCTGAAATATTGTCTAACATGGTATTTCCAGGACAGCCAGGGCTATTAGACAGAGAAACCCTGTTGGGGGTGGGGTGGAGGTAGGGACAACAACCCACAAACAAAAATAGGTAAGATGGTGAAGGTCTACAATCCCAGCACCCAAATGTAAAAACTGCTGTATTTGGGCTAGTCTAGAACAGAATACCTTCTCAAAAAGGAAAAAAAAAGTGTTTTCTACTACACAAAATGGTGTTTTTCTGGGATATGGTGGATCTCTGTGAGTTTGACATCAACCTGCTGTATGTACATAGTGAACTCAAGGCCAGCCAAGACCACACAGTGAGGCCTGTCTCCCCCCCCCCCCAAAAAAAAACAAACCAAAACTAAAAAGTGTCTTTACTTGTAGTTCCATTTTATCAGTTACCCATGTCTGTATTGGGAATTTTGGGTTCAACTGCCAATGTCTGAAGTTGTCAACAAAACATGAGACAGGTTTTGTTCATTAACCTGCTTTGAATCAAGAAAGAACTATAACTTTTCAACTCAAAAGACGTGTTTGTTAACAGATATTGGTGCCTTAATTAAGCAATACTTAGAAATCAATACTTTTCATCTAAACCTATCACCTGTTTAAGTAAATATTCTTTAATCTGTGCATGCCCATCCATGTTCACGCTGTGATATATTTGTGAAATTCGGATGACAATTTTGCCAGGCTGAGCCATCTCCACAGCCCTAAAGGAGGGCTCTTAATCACCTTTAGTAACATCCTATGGTTACTAAACATAGGCAATAGAACTATGAAGCTATGCATGTGCAGACTGAGCAAACATTTCCTTGTTTGCTGGTTACAAAGCTAAGATGAGGATGTTGTTCTCCCACTTACCTGGACATTAAGATGTAACTTCTTTAGGCGTTTTACCAGTGTTTCCTTATTGCATGGCACAAACGCTTCAAGATGGGCGTAGACGCCACTGCGAATGACGGGTCCCACTTCTTGTAGCTGTAACTCGATGCTGACCAAAAACAAAACAAAACAAAACAACACGCAACAGTAAACAACATAAAACCCTTTCATATATTACCACATGAGCCAGAACATAGCCAGGTGGTGGTGCACATCTTAATCATAATATTTGGGAGGCAGAGGCAAGTGAACCTCTGAATTTGAGGCCAGCCTAGTGTACAAAGTGAGTTGTTCCAGGACAGCCAGAACCACACAGAGAAGCGCAGTCTTGAAAAACAAAAGCAGAAAGAAAGGAAGCAAGCAAGCGCAGATGTTTCTGGAACTACAATCCCCACAGTAGTATTCCAGCCGTGTGCATATGCCACTTACTCATTTCTGTTTGCCTTATTATACCTGTGACACAGCTGTGTATTTACTGGTTTACTCAATTCATTGTGCGTGATTATTTCTCACTCCTCTTTCGGGGGAAGAAAACTAATAGTCAAATCTTTATTTTGCCTAGTAGCTATTTCTTTTTGATGGACCACATTAACTCCATCTTAAGTTTAGAAGCCGTCTTGTTACAAGGTCAAGTAAGTTTTTTGTAAAACTTAAATTTGAGCATGTCTTTACCCATTCTCTGGAATTTGGCATGTCTCACACCTATAACCTGATTTGCACCCTGACAAGAGGTTCTGACAAGTAATTTCAAAACATTCTCCACCAAGTTCCCATATAACCAAAAACTTGGAACCCACCCCCCCCCAGCCTTGCAGTTTGGGCTAGGTAAGCCCCACTTTCTTCTATGCTCAATGCTATTTTCTCAAAACCTGTCTTTAGGGAGATAGCACTGACTCACAGGAAAAAAAAAAAAAAAAAAAAGCTTGTTAACTTGACCAAAAAGTTTGGTTTGTTGGCCTTTATTCTCATTTAGTTGGATTATTATCTTTTAAAAATAGAGCAGTAAAGTTTGTAATAACTGCCATATTTCAGCAGAGAGCAACTACTAATAAGGTATCTATCAAAATGGAAGATGTATTTGGTAGCTGCTACTGAAGAAAAATAACAAATTGGGGCTCTTAGTTGGGCTTGGTGGTGAACATTATTAATCCTACTTAGAAAGAAGAGACAAGGATTGCTCTGAATTCCAGGCTAGCCTGATCTATGCAGAAACTCCAGGTCAGCAGAGGATGCATTGTGAGACCTTGTATCAAAACAAAAACAACAACAAAGTAAAACAAATTGGCACTCTTGGCAACAAATCATGTCCAAATCATTACAGATAATCATAGGAAACTATCCAGGGACACTTTGGAAATCCTCCCATATCAAATCACTTCTAAGCTATATTGTTAATTTCAGCTGGGCAGTGGTGGTATATACATTTAATCCCAGCACTCAAGAAGCAGAGGCAGGTGGATCTCTGTGAGTTTGAGGCCAGCTTGAGGTCTACACAGTGACAGCCAAGGCTACACAGAGAAACAGTCTTGAATCGCCCTAATACCCGCCCCCAAAAAAAGAAAATAAAAAATAAAGATATAATTTCAGGGGAGGGGGACACAGACAAAAATCACGATCATTAGAATTTTTAAGAGGGCTGGGTGGTGGTGGCACATACCTTTAGTCCAAGCACTCGGGAGGCAGAGGCAGGAGGATCTCTGTGAGTTCGAAGCTAGCCTGGTCTACAGAGCAAGTGCCAGATAGGCTCCAAAGCCACTGAAAAACCCTGTCTCCCAGGAAAAAAAATTATGTATGATTGTGCATGTATGTGTGTGCACATATATGGTACCATGGAGTACCTAAGGAGGTCAAAGGACACATTGAAGACTTGGTTCTCTCTTTCAACCATGTGGGTCCCAGGGATCAAACTCAAAGTCATCAGATTTGGTCAGATTTGTTGGTAAGAACCTTATCCATTGAGCCACTGATTTTCATAGGTCAACTGTGTGCATGTAGATAGCTTTTTTCCTTTTTTCTTTTTCTTTTGAGAAAAAGTCTCATATAGCCAAGGCTAATCTATAACTCCATACCTTAGTATTATTTGCGAGGATGACCTTACTTTCCTGGTCTTCCTCCCCTCTATGCAGTGCTGGGAAAATAGGTATGAAGCACCTCACCCAGTTTTATGTAAGACTGAGAAATGTGATCCACATCTTTGTAAATTAAAGGCAAGAACTATACCAGCTGAACTTGGCCCCCAACCACTTATTATTATTATTATTATTTGTATGATGTACACAGGTGTGGGTAAATGCATGCCACAAGTGTGTGGAGCTCAGGAGATAATTTTGGGGGTGGATTCTCTTCTTCTATTTGGGTTCTAGGGTTCAAACAAAGAACAGGCTTGCATAGCAAGTATTTTCCACCCGAGCCAACTTATCAGCCCTCAACTATATCCCAAGATAGCCTCAAACTTGTAGTTCTCTTCCCTCAGCCTCTTGGTGCTGGGATTAGAGATACACATAATCACTCGATGCAAAGTTTTCTATTAATTAATTAGTCTATTAATTTACTTAAGACAGAATATCAAGTAGCCCAGGCTGGCCTTGAACTCACAAGGTAGCTGACGATGACCTTCAACTGTTCATTCTTCACCTCCAAAATGCCGGGATTACAGAGGTGAACCATACCACACCAGGTTTATGCAAACGCAGGCCTCCAGCAAGCACTCTACCAACTAACTAACTACAGACTCAGCAGCCTGCAAGGCTTTTGTTTGTTCTCTTTTCTTTCAGTTAGGCATTGAATTTAGGACCTCAGAAATGCTTGGCAAGCATACCACTGAGATTATTTCCAGTCCAGGTTTAGAAAGAAAAAGATAAAATCACTTACTCCAGAAGAATATTATTCATTTCTTGTGTGAAGAATTTTTTTCTTCCTTCTTCATCAAAAAGTTTGGCAGCCTAAAGAAACATAAGACAGACAATATAATTCACAATAAACAATTACTGATATGAATTATATACTACTACTACTAACAAACTTCATTATCAGTAAAATACCACAAATTTTGGTATAGAGTCAGGCAAAGACATTTGAGATACAAGTCAAACAGGCTATCATATGTCGGCTGCAGTGGCTGTAATAATACACAGTGGCTTAAAAAGCAGAGGCTTTTTCTCTCACTTGGACATTCAAAATCAGTGCCGCTGGGCTAAAATCAAAGTGACAGCAGGGCTAAGCTGTCTTTCAAAGACCAGAAAAAAAAAAAAAAAAAAAAAAAAAGCTAGACCCTTCAAGCAGTTAAAAGCACAGCACACAGTGAATGAGTATGGCATAGGGGACTGATAGTAGACTTGAAATTAAGCAACTTCCCAAGGGCCATTAACTAAGAACCACAGGGAGACACTACACAAAAAGAAGAAACATGAAAATGCATTAGCACTGCCTATTTTTAGACTTAATCATTATCAAAGGTCACGAAAAGTCTGGAACTGAAAACTGAGTGTTAACCTTGTGACAGATAAAAGTACTTGTCAAAATGCCAAAAGTACAGGACAGACATTGCATTTGAGTGAAAACAACACAAAGATCTCTCTCCTCTTCCTTCCTGTCCCCCCCCCCACACACACACATACTAGCCTATGTGGCCCAGACTAGTCTTGAGTTTGGCAACTCTACTGGATCAGATTCCAGAGTATCACCCAGCATCCCCATCTGAGGACTTCAGCAGGATCTGTAATTATGCCCACTTTAAATTTTGTAATCTTTTTGTTTGTTTTGTTTTTTGAGACACGGTTTCTCTGCAGCTTTGGAACCTGTCCTGTAACTCACTGTGTAGTCCAGGCTGGCCTGGAACTCAGAGATCAGCTTGCCTTTGCCTCCCTAGTGCTGGGATTAAAGACATATATACACACCTACCACCCATCTTAAACTTTATAATCTTTTTTGTTGTTGTTGTTTGTTTTTTCAAGACAGGGTTTCTCTGTATTGTTTTGGAGGCTGTCCTAGCACTCACTCTGTAGACCAGCCTGGCCTCGAACTCACAGAGATCTGCCTGCCTCTGCCTCCCGAGTGCTGGCATTAAAGGCATGCTCCACCAACACCCAGCTAAACTTTATAATCTTAAATGTGAAATGTGATTAAATATTAGACTTAGCCAAAACTCAATATTAGTATTCAATGTCACAAACATCTATCTAAACAAAAATGCCAGGCAATAGCACTTCTGCTCCTGTATTTGATGTGTTAGGACTTCTATTTTATTTCATTATTTAAACTGCTGGACTTACCTACTGATATGTCCACCCACATTACCTTTTTCCTGTGCTGAGTGAGATCAGGACCCTGTACATGTTAAGTAAGTCTCCAAACACTGAGTAAACTCCCAGCCCTCAAAAGACAATTTTTAAAAACATTATTTCTGTTTCCTATTTTTAAAAAGTCCTTAATGGTGGGTCTATGAACTTTTAAACTTTGTATTCTTCTACTCAATTATACACTTTATGCTCGTTATCACATAGAATTTTCCTAAACAGCCAGAGGCTGGTAGTATACCCTGCCCTAATCTTACCCAAAATGCCCCCTAATCAAATTGCTAGTAAGTTATGCAGCCAAGATTTGGACTAAGGCCTTTGTAAACTGCAAAACGGCCACACAGTACAGACCCTGGAGGACTGCAGTAGCCTGCCTTCTGCATAACTAAGAGCAATAAAACAATTATCAAGGGATAGCACAAACTATAAGCTTGAGAATAACATTGCCATACTTTATTCCCTCTTACCCTGATGACCAGAAGCAAAAGAGTTTTTAACTTGGAAACTCTGCCAATAATCACTTATGGTAAATAGGCTGAGGAAGTCAAAGGCACAGTTAGCGTCAGGAGTCATTCGATGCACACTGACTGACTGGACAGAGATGATACAAGAACTTAAGCAAACCAGGGCCACCTCTACTAAGTTTCTGAAGTGTCTGACAACTTCACAAGCTTTACAAAGAAAAGGCAAATTTCTTAGACATGCTTCTTAGGAAGAAGATCAGGCATGCGAAGGGAACAGAGACATACAAAGCTTCTTATCGGTCAGACACAAATGTGTGCGCTCAGGATAAATTTTTAACCTTAAGAAAAAGCACCACCTTTTATCTCAAAAAGAACTCATGGGTATTGCAACAGGCTTTCTTTTGAGTGACCAACCAGCTCCCAAATCATGACATGGAAACTTATTATTAATTATGAATGCTTGGCCTTATACTATTTCCAGCTAGCTCTTCTAACTTAATTTAACCTGTCTCTCTTTATCTACTTTTCTGCTTTGGGGCTTTTTACCTCTCACTTGGTCTGTCCTACTCTGGCTGTCTGGCGGGTGTCTCCTACTCTTTCTCTCCTCACTTTTTTTTTCCATTTTAAAATTTAAATTAGAAACAATCTTATTTTACTTATCAATCCCAGTTTCCTCTCCCTCCCATTCTCCCAAGCCCCCTAGGATCCCCATCCCATCGCTCCTCTGCTCCATAGAAAGTGTGTGAGGCCTTTCATGGGGATCATCAAAGTCTGTCACATCATCGGGTCTAGGCTGTCTCCTTACTTTCTGAACCTAGATTCTCTACTTGTTCCTTCTGCCAGCTCCACCCATTCTTCTCCTACCTGGCCATTGGGTGCCCAGCTTTTTATTAGACCATTCAGGTGCCCCAGGCAAGAAGTTTTAAAAAAAAAAAAAAAAAAAAAAAAAACTAATGTAACACAGCTGGGCGTGGTGGCACACACCTTTATTCCCAGCACTCAGGAGGCAGAGCAGGCAGATCTCTGTGAGTTCAAGGTTGGCATAGTCTACAAATCAAGTTCCAAGACAGCTAGAGCTATTACACAGAGAAACCATGTCTTGAAAAAACAAAACCAGAACCAAAAAAAAAAAAAAAAAAGAGTAACACGCCTTTGCTTACAGGGTAACTGTAAGTGAATCTTCTTCTTATTGGTCATTTCTTACCAGGGGCTTAGGCAAAGGCTATAGTGACTCTGTCATGGGCACTATAGAGACCGGTGTCTTGATTAAGCATGCCCATGGCTGCCTCATAAGCGTGTGAAGAAGAACAAGCGGTTATATGGGTGACAGTGTGCACACTAGGCAGGGCTACTGACGTGACTTCAACTTAAAAATGAGAAGGCTTAAGAAAAAAAGAATTAGATGGCTTTGAGAATACCATTCAACCACGCTGCACCTTAATTTCCTTCACACTATGTGGTGTGGGAAGTCTCTCACGCAGATAATCTGAATCACATCATTAGTGTTCTTTACAACCTAGAAGAAACCCACCGGATGAGGGCTGGGGCAAAGGGGGTGAAGAGCGTGAGGAGAGGGCTTTTGTTACTGCAGACACGGCCCCTGCAGTTTACCACTCTCCACTCAGTCTCTTACAGGGAACAATGCTGTCACACACACACACACTGACAAGAGAAACAAGCCTGGCACTCAGAGCTGTGGCTGCACTAATAGTGCACTGCTTGCCTGGCACCCAGCACCCCACCTGAGGACTTCCGTGGGATCCTGTGTGCCCTCTCCAGACAGGTCCCCACTATGACCCCCCAGCCCCTGCCGCCCACTGTCTGCCTGCAGAGCCCTGTGGGGATCTGCAGCAGGCACCTGTTAACTCTGTGGACCTTGAACTTGGCTCAGAAGTGCAACAAGCCCTAGACGAGCCAGGACCACGTCCAGTCCCATCAGCAACACCATCACTGAGTGGCCAAGACCAAAACCTGACAAGCTGGGGTAACAGCAACCAAGATCCAAACACTCAACTCAAAATTGACCTGTGATGTCTAAGTCCCATGACAAACATTATTGAAAAACCAAAATAATGGCTTCCTCTAAAATCTAGGATCCCATAGCAAGATTTTTGAGAAAACACACAATCATTTCAAAGTAAAATTATGAACATGTCCAAGGCAGCATGGGAACCAGCATAGGACCAAATCAAGTGCCCTGAACACAGGTATCAGTTGGGGGCAGGGACAGTCTATGGGGCCTCTGGCAGTGGGACCAGTATTTATCCCTAGTACACAAATGGACTTTGCGAGCCCATTCCCCATGGAGGGACACTCTCTCAGTCTAGATACATGGGGGAGGGCCTAGGCCCTGCCCCAAATGACCTGACAGACTTCGATGATCCCCCATGGGAGGCCACCCTCCCTGAGAGTGGATGGGGGGGAGGGAGGGGGGTTGGTGGGGGGCAGGAGAGGACAGGAGGAAGAGGGAACTGGGATTGGTATGGAAAGTAAGATTGTTCTTAACTTAAATAAAAATGTATTTAAAAAAATAAACATGCCCAAGGAACTAAAAGTAATAAATGCTGGACTGAAGACTGGAAAACACAAATAGCCAAATGAAATGAAGAAATTCACGATGAAAATAAAATTTAGTAGAGATTAAGACTTCTAAAGAAAACCCAAACCAAAATAAAATTTAGTAAGTCAAATAAAAACCTAAATGGAGAGCTTTTTAAAAAAATTGATCAAATGGAAGAACATTGTAACAAGGGAGATGAACTGGATTGCTCAAAGAAATGGTAAATCTAAAAGAAACACAAAAAGCACATGCAGAATTCTGCTACCCTATGAAAGACCAAACCTGGAGCTGGAGATGGCTGAGCAGTACAGAGCACACTGGCGCTGTAGAGGACCGGTCTGATCCACCCCCCGGGTGCTCAGAGCACCTGCACAGGGCTCAATGAGAACTGCTCGCGTGTTCCAGCATTTGGTCCACAGGTGGGGGAATTGCTTGGGAAGATGAGGAAGTGTGGCCTTGCACGGGGACGTGTCACAGGTGGGTGGCAGGCTCCCAGCCACTGCCCCAGTGTCATACAGTCTGCCTGCTGCTATGATGACCGTGGACTCTACACTCTCTGGGACTGTGAGCCCCGAGTTACATATTTTATAAGTTGCCTTGGTCATGGTATTTTATCACACCAATAGAAAAGCAACATATGGTGGGGCACACACACACACACACACACACCACATATATACACACACATACACACACACCACATATATACACACACACATACACACACACATACAAACACACCACATATATATATACACACACATACACACACTCACACACACACACCATACACACACACACCACACACACACGCACGCACACACACACACACTCACACACACACACACACACACACACACACACACACACACAAAGGGGGGGGGAGCCTTTAATCCCAGAAACGAGGAACACAAGGGACAAATCTCAACATAATAAAGGCAAAAGACAACAAATCCACAGCAACATATGTTAAACAGACACAGACTTGAAGTAGTTCCACATTTAAAATTAAGAATTATTCTCTCTCGATAACAAGACAAGAAAAGGAGATAACAGGGACACAGGACCAAATAAAGTCTCCGATTTGCAGATGACATAATTCTCTATACATAAAGATCTTAGAGGCTTCACCACAAAACTCCTACAGGTGATAAACACACTGAGCAACAAAGTAGCAGGGTACAAAATTAACACACAAAAGTCTTCCTATATACCAAAGACAAACAAGCCAAGGGGGGGGGGGTAAAAAAAAAAAAAATAAGCGAAACAATTCCATTCACAACAATTTCAAAAAACAAAACTCCCTGACTAAATGTAACCAAGGATATAAAACACTTGTGCATGAGTCACACTGGAGGGGACTTTGTAAGTAGAACTCTGGTAGTGCAGGAATTAAGATTATCAACAAGTAGAACCTTGTGGAACAGCCAAGGGCACCATCATTTACAAAGGCAGAACGGAAAGACCTTTACCTTTACATCTGACTCTGACAGAGAGATGGTATCTAGAATATACAAAAACCTCAAAAAAATTAATCAGAAAAACAAACCCATTATGGTGCTCTTCATAATAGCCAGTAAACAGCCTAGATGTCAATCAACAATGAATAAAGAATGAAAATGTGGTACATTTAATCCAATGTAATATTATTATTCAGTTGTAATGAGAAATGAAATTATGAAATTTGGAGGTAAATGGATAAAGCTGGGCTGCGTTGTTTCTATTTTATACTGGATCAATTTCATGTAGCCCAGGGTGGCCTTGCAATAACAGATATCTGTCTGCCTCTGTCCCCCAAGTGCTGGGATTAAAGGTGTGTATCACCACTGCCTGGCCTCTATGGTTAACTAGTGTGGCTAGCTTTGCACTTTGATCTTCAGGCAAGCTTTATTTGTTAGATCATAAGTAAAATGTCATCACAGGTATACACCTGGTACACAGACATACATGCAAGCAAAACACTTGATACACATATAATAAACCCTAAAAAACTGTATTATGAGACCCATGTAAAATGTTATTTGTAAGGTAGGGGTTGGGCAAGATGGATCAGTGGTAAAGGCAACTGCTACTAAGCCTGACAACCTGAGTTTGACTTCCAAACCCACATGTTGGAAGAGAAGAATGAATTCCTGCAAGTTGTCCTCTGACCGCCACCTGTGCACTGTGAACTTATGGGTGCAGGTGCATGTGTGCACGCACGCACTCACGGGTATACACACACACACATCCCGCAACCAAATATGAAGAAAACTTTATAAGGTAAATTGAAACAAAGCAGTGAATAGAAACCAAGAGCATCATTACACTTACTACACGAAGGTCCTCAATGCGTTTCTCAAGGAGCACAGGTAGACCATCTGGAAGTGTAGGTACCACCTTGGGCATAACCTGGGAGGTGAAGGTGGGCTGGGTGGTGTTTCCATTTTCTCCCCCTGACTCAGAGAGGGGGCTGCCATCAGAAGCAGCATCTAGTAACCTGTCAAAGTCAAAGTCATCTAGCATCTCTAGGGCATTTTCCGCTTCCTCAAACAATTCATGCTCATTTGTGCTAACAAAAATAGGGAGGTCTGGATCAGCACTGTTCAAACTGAAGTCCGGGATGTCGTCCCCCATGGCTGAGGCAGCACAGGAGGACTTAGTCAGAGAGGAAGTTGGTAGGGTCACTGGGACCTTAGGGTTAGATTCCTTCTTTAGTGCATCCTTCTCTTTTTGAAATTTTCGTATCATAGCAGCCAAAGAAAGGGAATCTTTATATCGCTTCTTCTTTTTTTCAGACTTGTGAGAATTAAGAGCCACAACTCTGTGAAGGAAAAAAGACTGGTTAGGCTGTGTCATTTTAAGGGTGTGAATGAAATGCTTATGTGGGAGATGGCACAACAAGGTGGACAGGGTGTCACATAGCCCATGCTGGCCTTAAGCTTCATCTCCCAATTCCTACACATACAGATTTGTGCCACCATATCTGGCTTGAACTGGTTCATTACCAAATTAGACAACAACATTAGAGGTGAATATATGCACTTCTAAAAGGGCACCATAATACTGTGGTGTGCCTTTCCCAGCAGACTTAAGTCAGCATACCCGAGTTGTTTGGGCACTTTTTTTCTTGGCTTCTTCTCCTTTTCCCCTTCCTCTTTCCGCTTCCTCTTCTTTACCTCAATATCATCTTCTTTTATTCTGGGAGCCTGCAAAATGATGAGAGAATATATCATGTATCCAAGTGTCAATATCTTCCCTCTTTGATGTTAGTAATAAAGCATCTCAGGTAGTGGTCTTTTAAAGTGTCTGTTGGAATTATTTGCTGAGAGTATAGGTCTTTAGGGTCAATAAGCAGACTTGCCTAAGTTTTTGTTGCTATTGTTGTGTACATGATTGTGTGTGAGAGTACAGGTGCATGTGAGGCCAGAGGGAGGCACTGGATGCACGCCTTCTTCATTATTTTCCGTCTTATTTCAAATATGGCTACCAACTCATTACACTAGACTGGATGCACGCCTTCTTCATTATTTTCCGTCTTATTTCAAATATGGCTACCAACTCATTACACTAGACTGGATGCACGCCTTCTTCATTATTTTCCGTCTTATTTCAAATATGGCTACCAACTCATTACACTAGACTGGATGCACGCCTTCTTCATTATTTTCCGTCTTATTTCAAATATGGCTACCAACTCATTACACTAGACTGGATGCACGCCTTCTTCATTATTTTCCGTCTTATTTCAAATATGGCTACCAACTCATTACACTAGACTGGATGCACGCCTTCTTCATTATTTTCCGTCTTATTTCAAATATGGCTACCAACTCATTACACTAGACTGGATGCACGCCTTCTTCATTATTTTCCGTCTTATTTCAAATATGGCTACCAACTCATTACACTAGACTGGATGCACGCCTTCTTCATTATTTTCCGTCTTATTTCAAATATGGCTACCAACTCATTACACTAGACTGGATGCACGCCTTCTTCATTATTTTCCATCTTATTTCAAATATGGCTACCAACTCATTACACTAGACTGGATGCACGCCTTCTTCATTATTTTCCATCTTATTTCAAATATGGTTACCAACTCATTACACTAGACTGGATGCACGCCTTCTTCATTATTTTCCATCTTATTTCAAATATGGTTACCAACTCATTACACTAGACTGGCCTGTGGACAAGCGCACACCCTTCTGTCTCTATCTGTGTCTCTCCAGTGCCTGTGGACAAGCGCAACCCTTCTGTCTCTATCTGTGTCTCTCCAGTGCCTGTGGACAAGCGCACACTTCTATCTGTGTCTCTCCAGTGTCTGTGGACAAGCGCACACACTTCTATCTGTGTCTCTCCAGTGCCTGTGGACAAGCGCACACTTCTATCTGTGTCTCTCCAGTGCCTGTGGACAAGCACACACTTCTATCTGTGTCTCTCCAGTGCCTGTGGACAAGCGCACACCCTTCTATCTGTGTCTCTCCAGTGTCTGTGGACAAGCGCACACACTTCTATCTGTGTCTCTCCAGTGTCTGTGGACAAGCGCACACTTCTATCTGTGTCTCTCCAGTGTCTGTGGACAAGCACACACTTCTATCTGTGTCTCTCCAGTGTCTGTGGACAAGCGCACACACTTCTGTCTCTATCTGTGTCTCTCCAGTGCCTGTGGACAAGCGCACACTTCTATCTGTGTCTCTCCAGTGCCTGTGGACAAGCGCACACCCTTCTATCTGTGTCTCTCCAGTGCCTGTGGACAAGCGCACACTTCTATCTGTGTCTCTCCAGTGCCTGTGGACAGGCGCACACCCTTCTATCTGTGTCTCTCCAGTGCCTGTGGACAAGCGCACACTTCTATCTGTGTCTCTCCAGTGCCTGTGGACAAGCGCACACTTCTATCTGTGTCTCTCCAGTGCCTGTGGACAAGCGCACACTTCTATCTGTGTCTCTCCAGTGCCTGTGGACAAGCGCACACACTTCTATCTGTGTCTCTCCAGTGCCTGTGGACAAGCGCACACTTCTATCTGTGTCTCTCCAGTGTCTGGTTTACAGGTGTGTGCCACCACGCGAGGCTTTTAGACAGGCATTGCGAATCCAAATTCAGTTTCTCATGCAATGGTGCAAGCTCCTATCAATTGAGCCAACTCATCAGCCTTTCAACCGTGGCTTTGATTCAGCTCACTGCAGCCTTAGAGTTTACATTTTAAATAAGGATTTTAGTGATTCTGCTACAAATAAAGTCTGTGACCACACAGGAGGAAACACCTATGGACAATATTCATTTCTCAGTTACAGTACAACAAAAGTTGGTACAAATTAGATCTGAGGGAAGCTAATGCTCATGAACAGTTCTTGTATATTTTCTTGCTTGCCTGTTTTGTTGTTTTAATTTTTGGGGACAGGGTCTTACACTATAGTCCTAGCTGGATATGTTAAGACCAGGTAGGCCTTCAACTCACTAAGATCAACCTTGCCTCTGCCTCAAAAATGCTAGGATTAAAGACTGTTGTCTGGGGTTTTTCCTGTCTTTTAAATAGTGTGGCAACTAAACTCAGGGCCGTGTACATAGGAAGTAAGCACTTTATCATTAAGCTATATCCCCAGCCTGCACCAACATAATTTTAAACACAAAATTAAGTAAAATTTCACTAAACAATAGTATTTTGCCTTTTCTTATGTTCATAGTTGTGGCACAAATAATATTTAAAAAGTCTAACCTGAGTCCAAGTGTAGTGGCACACGCCTTTAACCCCAGCACTAAGAAGACAGAAGAAGGTGGATCTCTGTGAGTTTGAGGACAGCCTGGTCTACACAGCAAGTAAAGTATCTATCTTCTGGGGCTAGCAGGATGGCTCAGCAGGTAAAAACGCTCTCCATGTCACTGAGATGTCAGACTCACCTTGGGCGGCTTGTGCTTTTGGTTATCTGTAATATCATCTTCTTCAGTGTCTGAAGCCTGGCGGAACTGAAGAGTACCAGTGTTGATGTAGAAGCCTCCATATTTTGTTGTTAGAGAAGCAGGGACTAATTCGTCATACTAGAGCAAAAGAAAGTTTCAAATATATTCAATTGCCTATAATTCTGTAAACATGCCAAAGAACAGCATTTATTGACAATTCCTTAAATACTAACTGCAAATGTGGCAATCCTACTACTGGGCACACTCCCAAACGGCATGGGATCAGTGTGCCAAGGAAATGTGAGGCTTCTGTGCTTGCAGCAGCAGCATTTGCAAAAGCCAAGACACTGAAGCAACCTAAGTGCCCATCAGTGAGTGAATGGGATACTAGAATGTGGTGTATTTATTTACACAACAAAACATTATAGAGCTGGGCATGGTGGCATACATCTTTAATTCTACTGCTGTGGAGGTGGAGGCAGGTGAACTTCTGACTTTAAGGCCATCCAGGTCTACACAGTGAGTTCCAGAACAACCAGAGCAAGATAGTGAGAGCCCGTCTTCCAAACAAAGGCCAGAAAAATCCTGCCATTTGCAACATGTAGAAGGCATTATGTTAAATGAAATAAGCCAGCACAGAGAGACCACGATCACACACTATCCTTTGTATATGAACTCTAACAATGGTGAATTCATAAAAGTACAGAGTACCAGTGTTAGGTAGCAGAGGTTTGGGATGAGGGAACTTTGTATTTCAAAGTAGCTAGGAGCAGGTTTTTAAGGTTCTCATAAAAAAGAGGTGGTGTTTAAAGTGATTATCCTGCCAATTGTCCTTATCATATGGCCATTAAAAATATATACACTGGGCTGGGGAGATGGCTCAGAGGTTAAGAGCACTGGGCTGCTCTTCCACAGGTCCTGTGATCGATTCACGGCAACAAGGTGGCTCACAGCCATCTGTAATGAGACCTGATGATGCCTTCTGGCATACATGCAGGGAGAACACTATATATATAATAAAATCTTAAAAAAAAAAAAAAGGTGCACATTATCAAAGTGCTACACTGTACCCCATAAATATGCACAATGACTTTTTGTTAATTTAAAATACATGAGAGGAGGAGATAAAACTGATTCTGATAAAGATGTTCATAGAATAAGCGTAGAAAAAGTATGTGGAATAAAAAGCAGTTGTGCTCATTCAGTATTGTTTGTTTGTTTTTTGAAGCAGGGTTTCTCTATGTAACAGCTCTAGCTGTCCTGGAACTCACTCTAGACCAGGATGGCCTCAAACTCAAAAAAAATCCACCTGCCTCTGCCTCCCAATGATGGGATTAAAAGTGTGCTCAATCACACCTGGTGATTATTCAGTATATTTAAGAGAAATTTCTGGAAGAATTCTGATTGATGCTCTGCTGATAAGGTTAGGATTAATAGTACTGTTCTTGCTACTGTTCTTTTGTTAGATTTTGTTGATTTTTGTTAGAACTCAGAAAAATAAAATTCCAGATTTATTTGTTGGATGATGTCCCATACACACATTCAACAAGCCAAAATAAGGAAATAAACAGCTTCGCAGACAAAAAAAAAAAAAGAAAGAAAAAAAAAAAAAAAAAGAAAAAAAGAAAAATCTTTTGCCTTTGGCCTGTATAAGCATCTCATACGAACCAAGGACGTATAGACCTTAGCACTACCCTTCATGCCAACAGTTCTAATGGAAACTTGAAACACACTAAAGGGGAGAACTAAGCACTCGGATACTAAGAGAGCCCTTAAAAACCCTATTGATATGTAACTAAACATTCAGGTACTAAGTGAGTCCTTAAAACCCTATTGATATGCAATCTTACTGATAAGCAGAGGGCACAGAAGAATAAAATTCTTTGTCCTGACTCATACATAGAAAAAAATGTTCTGAGACAGTGTTTGTCTGTGTATGCCTGGCCATCCTGGAACTAGTTCTGTAGGCTAGCCCTGAATTCAAATATTTGCTTGCGTCTGCTTCCCAAGTACTGGAATTAAAGGTGTGTAACCACCATCACCGGCTTAGAAATACACTTTTAAGGAAAACAGAAAACCAACTGCACAGCCTATAAAATCATGTGAGGGTGTGGCATGAGCCAGGTACTATGCTGGGGTACTAATAAGACCATCCCTTCAAAAATACACAGTTTAAAGTTTATCACTATTCCACCCAGTAGAGATGGACAAAGAGCAAATATTAAATGGAGGCCAATCTTAAGCAATCAAAGACCTAAGGTTCAATTCCCCTTATCCACATGGTGGCTCACAATCATCCCTAACTCAAGTTTCTGGGGATCCAATGCCCTCATCTGACCTATGTGGACACAAGGCACACATGTAGTGGAGACACATTCAGGCAGAATACGCACGTGTGTGTGTGTGTGTGTGTGTGTGTGTGTGTGTGTAAAAAATTTAAATAAATCTGAAAAAAAAAAAAAGAAAAATCCTTGTCACAGGCAAAGAAAACCATATTCTGCTGACTGTAAGAATATTAAGGCTTTCTGGGCAGTGGTGGCCCACACCTTTAATCCCAACACTCTCAGAGGCAGGCAGATCTCTGAGTTAGAGGCTAGTCTGGTCTACAGAACAAGTTCCAGGACAGCCTCCAAAGTTATAGAGAAACCCTGTCTTTAAATACGAAACAAACTAATAATAATGATAACCAAGCAATGGCACACACCTTTAATCCCAGCATTCAGGAGGTAAAGGCAGGTGGAATTGTTAGTTCAAGGCCAGCCTGGTCTACAGAGAGAGTATCCATCCAGATACCCAGGGTTATATACAGAGATCCCACCTCAGAGAGGGGGGGGGGGGAGGGAGAGAAGAAGAGAGGGAGGGAGGGGGAGAGAGAGAGAGGGAGAGAGGGAGGGAAGCTATTAAGGCTAAGCATAAAGTTATGATATGATTTTTAACTTGATTCCTTTCCAAAATTACAGAAAAGGGAGAAATTAAATTATGCTGAATTTAAAAGAAACTAAATGAAGAAAAGACAAGAAGAGATGAGCAGTCTCTTGGCTTACTAGACACACTCACAGAAAAAGGCCCGTAGTACTGGAAGTGGCGGAGTGAAAACGATTAAACTGGCCTCGCGATGACATGCGCATCCCTTTACCTTTGGTCCCACGTACTGAAGCTCACTGTTGTGCACACCCCTTCACATGGGTGTTCTCCTCTGGGTCTCATGGCACCCTTGGGAGGCAGGGACGACAAACACTATTCCCATTGGGCAAGTGGAAAACAGGGAAGAACCTATCCAGTGCCATTTATGCCTAAAGTCACTAGCCAGCTCCCCAGCCACCTGCTAAAGCAAACCCCTTCTTCATGAGGGAAACACTCACCCCAGATATTCAGGGCCATCTTAACTGCCCCACCCCGCTGGGCTTCTGTCCCGAGTGACTCTGCTCAGAATAAGCTTAGAGACACACAACTGAGCCATTACTGTGGAACAAAGCAAAGGCAGAGAGAACGGAGACAGCCTAACTCTAGGCCCTTTGCCAGCCAGAGACTGAGAGCCTGGGCAGTGACGCATGCTCAGTCCTTTTGCAATTTACAAGAAAAGTGAGGCTGATCTTTAGGCATTGTAATCAAATAGCAGGTTACTCCAAACATTCACTAGGAATAGATGATTTTTCAATCTCTGAACACAGAAAGCTTATTGCAATACAATCAATACATACAGGGGGTCATTTGACTGGATTATAATTGTTTTATGTCTGACTTATGGATCTCTGTGAGTTCAAGGCCACCCAGGGCTACATGAGAGTGAATCAATCTAAAGGAGAAACAGAGTTTTAATCCCAGCACCAGAGAGGTACATAAGGTAGGAGTAGGGTTTCCAATTCCAGCAATTAGTCTCCAACCACGTTGAAGACCAGATCACCCCAGCCTTAGTAGAGGTAACAACTCCCACTGGGCTGCTTTGCTTTTCTAACTTTCACCTTTAACCCCATATCTGTCCTGTGTGCCTGAGTGCAGACTAGGAAGGCATGGAACCCTGGGCTGACCAGATGGCAGGGGCAGGCCAGCATAATGCCTGACTCCTTACAATAACAGTGTAGGTTCATCAGCTATAACAGGTGGACCACAATGGAACAGTATTTTGATCATAAAGGAGGGTGTGGTGTGTGTGTGTGTGTGTGTGTATGTGTGTATGTGTGCGTGTGTAAGGGTAGCTCTTCGAACTGTCAGTTCAGTTTTGCTGTGAATCTAAACTTGTTCCAACTGGGCCTGGTAACGCAGGGAGATTTCTGAGTTTGAGGCTCCACACAGTATATTCCAAGGCATCCCGAGCTATACAATTGAGAGTCTGTCTCAAAAACTTAAAAATAAATAAATAAATAAATAAACAAACAACCTGTTCTAAAACACAGTTTATTAGCTTTAAAAAAAAAAAAAAAAAAAAAAAAAGTTACTTATGTAAAAGCATGAGTGCATGCAATTTCCATTACTGAATTTCCTTTTAGGTAAGTCAGAATTTTAAATCTACACGTTAGCATTATTACTAATGTTTGATACTTGTTAATACTCTTTACTATATTTTAATTCATTTTATTTGAATCTCAAAGCAATTCTTGGAGAGTAATTTTACAGAAAACTGGATAACACTAATATATGTTTTCTTGATCAAACATCAAATTAAGAACTAATATAAAAACTAGAACCTAGGACTTCTACATTGAATTCCAAATAACAGTCAATACTCTAGATAGAAACACCCTAGTCTTAAATTGCCAATTGCTAACAGTTTTAGTAATGGCAAGGCCTTTCTTTATACTCTGTTATCATGCCTTGCCAAGATGCCACAAGTAATTTAGGAACACGATGACCAGTGCAAAACATGCTGACAATCATTGCAATCTCTCTTACCAGTTGAAGCTCTGTCACACCTATGCAAGTGATGTACTACCACGCAAAAGCTGTAATTTGCGGAAGCACAAGACATTTAGGTAGCATCATTTCCTGATCACCATGTAAACCACCGCACACTGAAGAGGCCATCATAGCCCTAGAGGGGAGTAATAACCCTAGACACTGAGTAATCTAATACCAAATAAGAATGGCAGACAATTTTTTTCAACTGGGCCATCTGCCCAGAAACATACATGATTCTTTTAAAAGCTAGGAAAATAAAGCCAAAGAAATCCTCATAACAAAAAGTTTCCTGTTTAAGCGTTGTATGCAGAAATGCTAGTTCAATAAACCTTAGTTAAGACAAGCATTTCAGGGAGCTGGAGCAATGCCTCAGTGGTTAAAAACATACTGCTCCTACAGAAGACCCACATTAATTAACAGCACCCACATAAGGTAGCTAGCTCACAACTTCCTGGAACTTTAGCTTCAGGGAGCTGACACCTCCCTGACTTCCTTGGGCACAAACACAAGCACTACATTTTTTTTTTTTTTTTTAATTAAGACAAGTATTATCAATATTTTCTATCCTCAATTAAGCTTAATTTTTTTCAGCACTTGATTAGAACTTTATTCCTTTCCCTATGTGTGAGCTTATATATGTATGAGAGACTGTGCTCATGTGTGAGAAAGTGAACATTTGCTTGGATGTGGCTCATGGTTTTGTTTTGTGGGTTTTTTGGTTTTAAATGACAGGGTTTCTCTGTGTAGCCCTGGCTGTCCTGGAACTCACTGTGTAGATCAAGTTGGCCTCGAACTCATAGAGACCTGCCTGCCTCTGCTTACTGAGTGCTGGGATTAAAGGCGTGCGCTACCACCTCCCGCTGTGTGCTCCCGTTTATAGTTTATAAACAGTTTCATATATTAACCAGGTCCGAGACTACCCTCAATTACTATGCTCAAGAATGACCTTGAGCTTCTCATTTCCATGTCTCTACAAATTCTGGGATTGCAGATGTACAACACCATGCCTTTTTTCCTTTTTTAACAGGTTACTTATCACTGGATGGTGGTGGTACAGGCCTTTAATCCTAGCACTAAGGAGGCAGAGCCAGGTAGATCTCTGTGAATTACAGGACAGCCAGGGCTACACAAAGAAACCCAGACTAGAAATACCAAAATAAATAAATTAATTAAAATTATTTCTCAGTTTGGGCAAGGCCTAATGATTTCTCCAGGAATTAATTCTAACTATGCACCTGAAAATAAGCAACTATTAGTCTCAAAAGATTCTTGCAGGACCTCAAACCACAGCAAACTACATTAACAGTCTATTATCTTATTGGCAAGCCAAGACTTGCTGGCCAAGTTAGTTCGGCGTTAACAGTTTGTTACCCTACCTGCCAGAAATGAATATTGCTTTAAAAAGAAAAAAAAAGATGTATATGTTTATTATGTATACAGTGTTCTGTCTGCATGTAACCCTGCAGGCCAGAAGGGCGCGCACAATCTTATTACAAACGAGCCAACCTCTGGTCGCTGGTAACTGAACTCAGGACCTCTGGAAGAACAAGCCAGGGCTCTCAACCACTGAGCCATCTGTCTAGCTCCAAATTTTGCATTTTTTAAGTGGTGGGAAAACATCAGATTAAGTATTTTATGATGCATGAAAATTACATGAATTTAAATTTCACAGTCTACCAGTAAAGTTTTCTCTAACACTGCTGCTACACTAACACACGTACATATTCTCTATGACTGCTCTCATACTATAGTAGGAGAAAAGCTGTAACAGACACCATATGGCCCACAGTCTAAAATATTTACCACATGGCCCTTTATAGATAGTTTGCCAAAACCTGGCCTATGATAGCAACTTACCATGAACAAGTCAACATTACAAAAAGAGTACATCTGCAGCATTTTTTAAAAATCTTTTAAGCTATGAAACAATTTTTTAAAACACAAATAAAACCCTCTGTTGAAATATTTTAGGTTACTTTGCCTTGACTTCTACTGCCAAAGGTTAATGCCATATTAAAGATAAATTACTCACAGCCTCTGAGTTATCAATAAACGGATCTGTCTCATCATAGCCAAAGCCTATATCAATTAAATCTTGTAGCCGATCCTTCCGGTGTTTACGGGCTTTCCCACCCTGCAAAGAAGAGATACATTAGGTTTATTCAATACCTGTACTACTTCCATAAACTTTTAAAAAAGACCTATTAGAGGAATTCACATGATTTTTGTAGAGAAACCCTCTGTAGGCAACTGGGTCTCCCCAAGCCTTGCATGGAAACCACACTTAGTGACTGCTTTCTCAGAGCAGAACAAGACAAAGTAACTCTAAGATGGAAACCCTGCCAACAATCCTCAACCACACAGTCAGCACTAACAATGAGAACTCAAATTGATGGCATCTGTCCTTGACATAGTAAAAACTACCCTCCAACTCTGTAGTCTTCCTTTCAAAAACCTGTAACCCAGCCTGGCGGTGGTGGCACACACCTTTAGTCCCAGCACTTGGGAGGCAGAGGCAGATGGATCTCTGTGAGTTCCTAGGCCAGCCTGGTTACAGCACTAGTTCCAGGACAGGCGCCAAAGATACAGAAAAACCCTGTCGGGAAAACCCAGAAAGAAACAACAAAAAGCCCTGTAACCCTTGTTCAGCCATGAGGCTACAGAATAAGCAATCAGGGTCCTTCAAAGCCATCATGATTACCAAAGCCAAGGAAAACACAGAACAAGTCAGCCTTGCTGGGCACAGTTGTTGGTACAAGACTCTCAAAGGCACCATGCTCAACCAAACAAGTCACACACAGGCAAGGTCCACTCACAGGAAATTCCAGAAAACCAAAAACCTTCAGAAACGAAATCAGACCAGAGGGTGCCAGAGAGGTAAAGGACTGTCTGCAAAGTTATACAAAACCTGTGGGGAGATAAAGCTGGCCTACACCACGACTATAGTGACACAGAATGCATGCATTCATTAAAGCTCACCAAGTTGTACAACTAAAATTGTTGGAGTAATAGTTAAATGATACCCCCCCTTTTTTTTTTTTAACCACAGCTAGGCTCAAACCAAGAATTATCATTTCTACTTCAAGTCTCTCTCCCAAGAACCTTTGTTTTTAGGTTTAGTCACACCTCCAGCTTCCTACCATTCTAACGGTGAGGTCTAGAAACATGGTCATTGTTTTTACCTAAATGTAGTCAATCCCTTGGCTTGCCTCATTTCCCTCAATTTTACCCTTATTACATCTAATGACTATTTCAAAAATATCACTTCCTATATTCTCCAGCCTCAGAAACATCCTTATTACAAGACAAAACACCAAAAGCCTTAATATTCACAATTCAAAGCTTTTTGCATGCTAACCCTGACTGCCTACCCACCTTCCCTCTATAATGTTCTGTCATGAGCTTTTGGTCCATTCAATTCCTGTCCTAAGCACATGTGCTCAGCTTTCCTCAAACTTTCACTTTGTACGAACTCTGACTGCTCAATGAACCCTGCCGCCTCTCACAGTTCAGCCTGGCTTGTAAATTTCTCCCTGGGATGCTAATTAAAATCACAACCACTATTTTCATCGAATACTTTCAGGCAAGAGAGCAAGGTACAACTAGGTGACTATAATTTGCCTGGGGACTTCTAAAAAACAAAACAAACAGCAAATCCACAGTCTGTTGTGATAAGCAAACACAGAAGAGCAAAGAGCTTACTGGTAATTGGACTTAGGAGCATGTGTGTGTCTAGTCAAGGTTACCAGCTTGTTGCCACTAAAAAGGACTGTTGGTAATCATTAGTGCTCAATGGAGGAGAATAGAAGTGCTGATAAATAGGTGTGAATCCTTTTAATTTTAAATGTGAATCTTAAAGAGATTATCAAAAAGAATTAACAAAGCTTTGCCTATAATATTAATCTGTAATCTCACTAAAATCCTGTCGATAATAACTTAGATGACGTAACTATAAATCATATCAATTATGGCATAACCATTCAATACTAACAGCCTAATGGCAAAAGACTATAAATATAGGATGTATGAAAAGCAATTTGTTACATCTTATTTACAACTCAGGATATTCACAGAAAGGACATTAAGAGTATTCATTAAACATCTGAAGGCCAACAATGATGGCTCAGTGGTAAAGACACTTGCTACCAAGCTTGATCCCCAAGACCTACAGAGTAGAAAAAAAAAAGATAGTTGTCCTCTGATATCCACACATGTGATGTGCATGTGTGTACCCAAACACACACCACATAAAAAATCAGTTTTTTTTTTTTTTTTAATTTAAAAACGTGGACATAGAGATGGCTCGGCAGTTAAAAGCACTTGTTGCTGTTGCAGAGGACCCTGGGGGTCTGATTCTAGCACACATCTGTGATTCCAGTCCCACAGCTAGAACTTGCTATGTAGCCTAGGCTGTTCTTAACTTGTTCTTCCTACCTCAGCATCCAAATACTAAGATTACAGGCGTGCACCATCATGTCTGCCTTAGAACAGCACATTCAACCGATGCCCCAAAGGAGCATATACTTGAATTTAAAACATTAATGTTTTCCCTAAAGGAACTCAAGACAAACTGGCAGTGTCTTTCCTTCTACACACACCCATTTTGAATCGATCTTTATCAGTATCTTTACAAAGACTGTTCCCTGAAACATAATCAGTCTTAAGTCATAATTTTCTAAACCCTTGATACTGTAAAATTTACAGGCCAAGTGAGCCAGGTGCAGTGGCACACGACTTTAATCCCAGTACTGAGGAGGCAGAGGCAGGTTCAAGGCCAGCCTGGTCTACAAATCCAGTTCCAGGACAGCTAAGGCTGTTACACAGAGAAACCTGTCTTGAAATACAAAACAAAACAAAACCTTCCATTTGGTTAAATCTCAGTGACTCAGACTATTACCTACTGAGTCACTAGTACTGGCTTAACCTGATCATCAGTATCTCGGGCCAATGCTGGGGATTACAACATCAGTAAACTGAAAAACAAACAAGACATTCCTAGCACAGGACCCCCACTGCCTCTGTGACAGTAAAATGGCACCAACATTCACTGATCACTTATGGCAAACAGAGCGAGCAGGGCATTAATTGATAGGATTCCAGTCTACAACTGGAAGAAAACACCTAGGTTACAGAGCTTCTGAAAGTGCACCACAGCCCTCTACAATTGCTTCTTTTTATATCTACAATTGCATCTTTTCTTAATCCTTGGTCATTTCAACCTTCCCATAAAAGAGCATACAGTTTTAAATATCAGTAGAAACAGTCAAGAGTACAGAAACACTAGCATACACTTTGATAACCATCACTTATGGGTGTAAAATCTTCTTCTTGTCCTAAAAGTGCTGTTTCACAATAGGTCCACAGGAATTGAAAGATGTTGAAAATTTATTTGACTCAAAGAGGCCACACAATAAAAAAATGGAAAAGCAAATCCAATTATCAGCAGAATTAGACAAAAAAAAAGTGCTGTTTTGACCATGATTTGAAGACAGCCTAGTCTACAGCAGTGGCAGGACAGTCAAGAGCTACACTGGAAAAAAATGTCCCTCTTCCTCAAAGTTGTTTTTAAAAGGTCATTTTACATTTTAATATTCGCTCAACCCTGGATTGGTTCCAGGATCCCTAACGAATAACAAAATCTCCAAATGTTCAACTATTCTATACAAAATGTCCACACACACACACACACACACACACACACACACACACACACACACGATATATGTATATATCCCGCTTGTATATTGTGTTCTTTAGCTCTAGATATTTATAACATCTAATACAATGTGGATATTATGTAGTTATGAACCTGTATTGTTTAAGGAATAAAATTAAGAAAAAAGTCTGCCCATGTAAAATACAGGTACACGTTTTTGGTTTTTGTCTGCTTTTTTGTTGTTGTTTTAATATATCTGATATTCAGTTGGTTGAATCCATAGAGGTAGAATCTACAACTATGGTGGGTTAGTTCCACACTATTATTTTTTGTTTTATTTTTTAATTTTGCTTTGTTTTTTCAAGACAGGGTCTCTCTGTATGGTTTTGGCTGCTCTGGAGCTTGCTATGTAGACACATTTGAACTCAGAGAACTACCATATCCACCCTGGTTGCAGACCAATGCTACTCTACACAGAACACTAAATTCACTGGTGCTATGTTTTATGAGTACAATTTATTTTGCAGTGATCCTAACAAGCTTGCCCAAACTCTATCCAAAACTTTGCAAGCTGAGTCCTAGGGACCATACCCAATACAAGGACAAAACAGAGGACAAACAGACCTGGGGAGGCTCCCCTAGTGCTCTAACTTCTGAGTAATACAATTCTTAAAGTGATTACAGGCTTTTATAATATCCACTTCCCAGTACCATATCCAAGGAAACTATTGAAAGTATTTCACAACTGATTGTGAAGTGAACAGAATGTATATATAATCACTTAAATTATTCATTTACTTTTGTTGGTCATGGTGGCATACAACTTTAATTTCAGCACTTGGCAGGCAAAGGCAAGCTGGTCTGAGTTCCAGCCAGCTAGGGTTATACAGATAGACTTCCCCAGGTTAATGGATAGATGGAGAACATTTTTACCTGTATTTAGCTATTAAGGGTTAGGGTTAAAGAGGCATGTATACGTGATAAAAATGTGGAGGTCAGAGGACAACTCGCCAAAGTCACCTTTCCTATCACGAGTTTCAGAATCAAACTCAGGTCCATCAAGCAAGTGTCTTTACCTGATGAGCCATCTTGCCAAACATATGTCAGTCTAATCTACATTTGTTTTACAATCAATGCCAAAATGTTGTTGTTTTGTTTTTTAGAAACACACACACACAAAGAATCAGAGAAAGACAGGGTTTCAGCAGGTTGTAGGCCTGACCTAGAACTCACTATGTAAATCAAATCTGTAGTGATCTTCCTGCCTCTGTCCTCAAAGAACTGGGATTTCAGGAATGCTCCAGACTATGATCACTTCAACTACTTTGCTTATGTGGCTCCTCAGAATTACCTTTGCTGCACCAACTTTATTATCACTGTCCCTTAAAAAAAAAAAAAAAAAAAAAAAAAAAAACCCTGAAGCTATTAGGACCGATTTAAGCATGAACACCAAATCTCTAAGGTAGAGGAAGCAGATTATTTTTCTTTTTAAGGAAGAGGAGTTTAAAGCTGTAATTCATCAGCAGTATTAAATGCTTGGCAAGGAGCCACTCAGAATCAAAGTTAACTTTAACTGAGCTCCACGTGAAGCACTAGGCACTGTGCAGACATCTTCACAGACATTACTGAGTTTATACCCAACTCTAGAAATAGGAGTTTCCCCGGGTGGTAGTGGTACACACCTTTAATATCAGCACCTGGAAGGCAGGGGCAGGCAGATCTCAATGAGTTCAAGGCCAGCCTGATCTACAAAGCTAGTTCCAGGACAGCCAGAGCTATAACACAGAGGAACCCTGTCTCAAAAAAAAAAAAAAAAAAAAAAAAAAACAAAATAAAAAAAAGAAATAGGAGAGAGCGAGGTGGGAAAAATCACCAAGAATGATCTTCTAAGCATCACAAGTTATGCTGTGTCCTATAAACTAAGAAAGCAAGTCAAATCCATTAAGATGGACCTTGTACCCTATATGACATACACCAGCTAGAAACTACCCTTGAAACACAGCCAGAACCTTCAATATCTGAAACCTTAGGCAAGAGGTAGAAACAGGAAGATTATGAGCTTTAGGCCACCCTGAGCTACAGAATGAGGCTGTCTTAAAACAGAACACAAAACACCAGGAAAACAACCTCACTACAAATTAGTCTGGGTTTTTTTTTGTATCTTTTCTTTTGTAACACCTACCATTTCATCTGTTTTAGTGAAGAGCCACAGAACAAATACCCAGAAAGACTTTAAAAAAAAAAAAAAAAAAATCTCAGTTTTCAGATATGAAAGCTGGGCTTTGAGTGAAAATGAAGGGCTCAGAGGTTAAGAGCACTGACTACTACTTTGTTTGTTTTTCAAGAGAGGGTTTCTCTGTACTGTTTTGGAATCTGTGTTCCTGGAACTCACTCTACAGACCATGTTGGCTTAGATCTCACAGAGATCTGCCAGCCTCTGCCTCCCAAGTGCTGGGATTAAAGGCGTGCACCACCAACACCCAGCTCCACTGACTTCTCTTTCAGAGGACCAGGGTTCAATTCCCAGCACCCACATGGCAGCTCACAACTGTCTGTAACTCCAAGATCTAACACCCTCACACAGACACATGCAGGCAAAATACCAATGCAAATGAAATAAAATAAACAAATTATTAAAAAGGAGCAAAATAACTTCACTCAAAGGGCACAATTTGTTGGTGGCAAAGAGTAGCCTAAATAAAACCTGACTAAAATTCCACCATATTCTGATTAAATTCTCTCATGCAGAAGCCAACAAGTGTCAAGTCCAATTGGAGGTGCACTTTCAGGCTAAGGGAAATGCCAAAGCCAGTGAACACTGACATCCTATCTCTGTGAAGCATTTTAATGCTCATGGAGAAACCAGGAGAGAGCCCTCATTCTCAACTCAATTCATAGGATAAACAGGGCACAGTAATAGGAGCTATCTACGGTCAGCTACACTAAAAACTGGAGGGAAATGCTCTATGGAAACTACATTTTTATAATATATTACTTATGTTTCCTATTTAACTAAGAATATAGAATATACAGAAATATTTAAGACAAATATAACACAAAGTTTCCTACAGGTCCTGATGGACTCTAATCCAAAGGGCTTACAAGTATAGTCCTCCCACTCACTCTCTGAAAAAGGAGGAAGGGGAGAGGGGCCAGAACAGTCCTCCATGGTGGAGGGCGGGAGCAGGGTTACAGCTACACACAGCTGGATGCTGGATGTGCTTGCTGCCTGTTCATCTGTGAGATGAACATGTGGCCATGTTCATCTGTGAGAAAGAATAAATATTACTTACCTTATAGTTTTTTATTGTAACATTTGTCAGATAAACTGCCTAGATTCTAGAAGGACTATAATGAATGCAGCCTACTAACACAGTCAGGACAAACCTGTAAAACTGTCTGGCTGTCAAAACCATTCATTCAGCTTTAAGATAAGTAAGCAGTTGCTATTTATAGGACCTTCCAACTAGCCACACAAAGAAAACAGGCCAGCAGGGTAAAATTACCTAGGTGAACACTATCATACTCACATATTTCATTTCAAACTTCTTAGCCAACATTTCCACTTCTTGCCTCTCCTTATGCTCATCATTAAATGGGTCTTCTGTATGAACAAGTTTCTTCTGGTTCAAAGGAAATGAGGAAAGAAACAGAAGTATTAGAACTGTTTCAACTAGATTGCCATATACTAATCACATCAACCACAGTTCAGTATAACTGAATAGCCTATCAAATAGGTACTCAATATTATATATTCCATAACTACAGCCACTGTATTATTTTCCAGATTTGACTATCTTTAAATTTCAGTGAGTCAATTTTCCTAACATAAATAGGTCAAAAACATTAAAAACTACACACACACACACACACACACACACACACACACACACACACACACACACACACCATGGTTCACAGAAGTATCTGCACTTAATAGAACTACAAATGCTGTATAGTTTTTTTTGATGGTCAAGAATTCAACATCAAAACTGACTCCATTTTTGGCCACCTTCCCAAATGACCTTGTGATCGCCATCCCAAATAAAGTAACCTTTCCCTTAGACCAACATAGGGAAAATATTAATTTTATTTTGGCATTATCCCTAAAAAGGGCTCATTCAGCCACGAAATATCCATAAAAAGGTATCCAAATTATTCACTATAGAATCAAGATTCATCATATGCTTACAAGTTATTATTTGAGTATCTGCAGTTCCCCTGGCTTTCTGCTAAGGCTTGGAAATCAATAATTTCTATATCACCTGCCTCCTGGCAATGGATATCCATTCAAGGAATACACATACTATTAAAAAAAAAAGTGCAATAGTTCACCATGGCTTCCTTCTAACAGTATAGAATGAAACATTGTTTTAAAATACAGTTTAAAATACAGACATACACACTATGAGCAAGGACCCTACATTAACCATCCACTTGCCAAAACAGATAAAGTTGTATCCTTTCCTGACTGTGCTACATTTTCAAAAGCCATTTTTTAATATGTTACTATTATGTGCTACATGATGGGGGGGGCAGTGAATACATTCGGAGGTCACAGGGCAACTTTGTAAAGTTGGTCTTCTTGCATCTTTCTATGGATTCTAGGGATTGAATTCAGGTTGCCAGACTCAACCTGAGTTTACTATTTTAGCAGATATGTTTTACATGTATGATTTTCAATTAACAAAAAAGCTAAGAGCTCCTTTTTAAAAATATTATTTTTATCCAATTTCAGAAATTTTACTTTGGTTTTGTTGTTTCTTGTTTTGATTTTAGGAGACAGGGTCTTACTATGCAGCATTGGATGACCTGGAATTCCCTACCTAGACCAGACTAGCCTCAAACTCAAGAGATCCTTCTGATTCTCCCTCCCTTGTGTTAAGATTAGAGTGTGCCCAACTATCCATCTGAAAGTAAATTTTTTGCTTTTTTGAGACAGGATTTCTTTGTGTGGTGCAGCCTGGCTGTCCTCGAACTCACTTTGAGACCAGACCAACCTTGAGCTTGAGAAATTTACCTGCCTCTGCCTCTTAGGATTAAAGGTGTGACTGTTAACCTGCCTCTGCCTCTTAGGATTAAAGGTGTGACTGTTAACTGTTTTAACCTGATCCAGCAGCTTCAAATAATTAAAAGTATTATTATAACCAAAACAAAGACCTGCATTTGGTACTAAGGTGCTTCATCCTAGATATAAAGACTGACACACATAATCAGCCTAAAACATGACAGGGAAACATGGGCAGGATGAACACAAAAAGGTTCATCCTTCCCAGCACATCAGAACAGAGGGGGCTCTTTTCAAAAACAACCCAGGGGGAAGGAAAACTAGCAAAGTGAAACTGTTAAGGAGTCAATGCTACACGGGGGCATAGCGGTTCCCTCATGCTAATGCACAGGACTGCAAGCAATCAGCATCTTTGTTATAAACTGATGCCCCCATCACTGCGGAGTCCAAGGAGTAGGTCCTTACTATACCTATGATCAGGACTTTATGACAGTTTTATTGAACCCAGAGCCTTTCACATGCTAGGCAAGAGTTCTACCACTGAGTTCTCTCCCCAACCTAATCTGACTCGTTTTAAATATGCAAATATAAACACAAAGATTTGTAATTTTTACTAATAGTCACCTTTTTAAAAACATTTGTTTGTTTAATGTACATTGGGGTTTTGCCTGCCTGCGTGTTTGTGTGAGGATGCCAGATCTCCTGGAAATGGAGTTACAGACAGCTGTGAACAGCCATTTGAGTGCTGGAAATTGAACCTGGTTCCTTTAGAAGAACAGCTAGTGCTCTTAGCCATTGAGTCATCTCTCCATCTCACCTTTAAATGTTATTACTCTAAAATTTTTTTCAAGATGGGGTTTCACTACATAGTCTAGGCTGGCCTCAAATTCACAATCCTGCCTACGTATCTTGAGTATCACCATGACCAACCTATTCTAAAATTGTATAGTTTATACAGGCATTGAAATCATTCTCTTGTTTACATGTGATCTATAAAATTAAAACAAACTCACTTCTCCTTTACAGTTAAGAATAATACCTGCCATCCCAGCACTCGGGAAGCTGAGGCAGGGAGTCTGACGGAAGTTTGAGGCTAACCTGGGCTACACAGTAAGACCTTACCTCAAAGCGCCAAACACCCGCAAAGAATCATCCTTTTCAATACCCCCCCCCAATATCCCCCAGCCCAGGTTAAACAAACTGTAAATTATGAGCTACCTATGTGTAAAGTCCATGTAGTAATTTCCTCCTTTGATGTTAGTAGCATGTTCAAATCTTTCATAGGCCCTATCCAACATAAGCAAGTGACAAGTAACAGAATACCACAGAATTCTGTAACAGCACAGCTACCTCACCACCATTATCACTTGTTTTTCTCTTCACATGAAACATTTAACTCATTATGTTCTCAAATGGGTGCTCAGGTTATCTGATTCTTGGTTCGCTAAGAACTCAACTTTTTTCTTGTGCATTTGTCACATCCAAAACTTATTTCACAATGCACTCTCACCAGCAATGGTAAACAAACTAATCTTTCAGGGTGGGTGTGATTCCGACGCCTCGGTCATCGCTGAACCACCATGATTACGGCATGGTACTGCACAGAGAGGGCAGGGCAAACGGACTGACCTAATCTGTAAGGGAACAGTGCTTTTCCTCATAAATACAGAGAAATCCCAACAGTATTTCCATTCACGGGATTGCTTTCTTCAATTAGCAGCTAGGAAGGGGCTTATTTAATATACCTGAGTGCAACAGCCCACAGCTACCAACTTTCAGTTAAAACAAATCTTGTTCCCTGACATATAGCTATTTAAAAAATTTGGAGACTTTTTCTAATTCTCCTTAGCCTATTCAATTCAGTAACTCAAAATTAAAATTACTTTGGAAAGACTCTTAACTCTAAAAATAATCTGAGCCAGGCTTAGTAGTACAGGACTACAACTCCAGCTACTCAGGAAGCTAAAACAGCAAGATCATGAATTCAAGGCCAGTTTGAGCAACTTAAATTATCTTCTCTCAAAAACAAGGCATGAGCTGTACTTGGAGTCATGTCAGTGATATAGCATATCACTGGCCTAGCATGTTCAGATCCCTTGGCTTGATTCTCAGCATTAGAAAAAATAAAAATAAAACACTTCCTAGAGGAGAAAATTTGGGATTTATCACTTTCCAGACATTCTAATATTCACAGTTAGCTTTCCAGTTGGTCACTCTTCTAGGATTTCCTTTATGGAGCCATAAATAACACAAAAGTGTTATTTATACATTACCAGGTAATAAATATATTAAGTAGGTAAGTAGGACTAATCATAGGAAAACCTCAGTAAACTTGTTTCAAATGTATACAGCATTAAAAAAAAAAAAAAAAAAAAAAAAAAAAAAAAAAAGAAAAGAAACTAAAATCCAGGATAGTCAGGGCTATAGAGAAACCCTGCCTCAAAAGACAATTTAAAAAAGGAAGGAAGGAAGGAAGGAAGGAAAGAGCAGAATTCTTGAACATATGTTTGAATATAAGAAATTTGGGTCAATAAATTCCAAAACTGTTAAGTGTGTATTAAACAAAACACAAAAATTAAACCCAATTTACCTGTCTCTTAGAACATGAAAGTATAGCTCTGTACCAAACCCTGCTTTCAGGGAAAGCTCACATACATACCGATAAACACCACAGAACACAAATACACAGCAGATCAAACAGTTGAATACCGCATAGCTAACTAAATGGGGATGGGGAGAACACCACACCTAGGTTAGCTGGGAATGGTGTATCAAACACCTTTGATCCCAGCAGTAGGAAGGTAAAGTCAGAGGGATCTAAGATGAAGACCAGCCTGACCTACAGAGTGAATTTCAGGGCAGAACCGCTACACAGAGAAATCCTGTCTCCAAAAAGCAAAACTTAAACAAAAAAACCACCTAGGTTTGTGCAGGTTCTTTCTACAGTGTTTGCACAATGGCAAACACTAACTGATATTATGTATTTTTACCTAAAGATGGTTTTTGTCTTGCAGATTTATTATCGTATCTGTGTGTATGTGTACACCTTGCAGAAGATGGCTCTCTCCTTCCACCATGTGGATTCTGGGGATGGAACTCAGGTCTTCAGGATTGGCAGCAAGTGCCTTTACCTGCTCAACCATTTGTCACCAGCCTCCAGTGCACTGAGGTCACAGACTAGCAAGCCCATCTACAAAAATTTGATTCTGTGACTTATGCAAATTATAAAAATGGAATACCTACTTCTATTAGCAGGTCAAGTATAATTTCTTTGGAAAATGCTTCAGTTTAATAAACAAAAAAAAAATGATGTTTATTAAAGAGTTGTGAATGGAGTCTACAGAACAAAATGTGAAAATGACCAAAATGGTCTCTACCCCTAACAATCCAATTTCCCTGAAAACATTTAGTAATGATGGCTGCACGATATTTGTAACTAGCCATCAAAGGGTTATCTGGCACAGAATGAACACAAGCTAATGACATTATTCAACGTAAGACTTTTGACTTAGAGTCCTTCATTGCAACAACAAAGATAGTTGATGAAAAACTAATGAATTCTGGAGTCCATCAGGCCTGATAGAAAGCCCAGCTTAATAAAGAGCACAGTCGCTAAACCACAGGACAATGTCTGTTTGTCTGCCTCTGTCTCTCTCCCTCCTCCTCTCCCCTAAAGATCACAACCCACAACAATAAAAATTACAGTCACCGACAAACCGCTGTCCTAATCCCCATTGTTCGCCGCTTCCCTCAACGGCATACCTATGTATTTCCCTAAGTTTTTTTTTTTTTTTTAATTCAAAGCCAACATTTTTTCCATCATTCCATCATGCTCCAAAAGACTACTCCGGACAAATAACCCCAATTCGAACTAAATGATAGCCACTCAATATGATTAAACAGCCACCGAATAAGACAGGAGACCTTTCCATTCAAAGACAATATTATGCACAAACAACACACACACACACAAAGCTAACAATATTTACCAACACGAGTGTAACCACATTAAGGAATCCACTTTTTCATTTCTAACGTGGAATCTTCAGTTTCTGAAAATGCTTTAAATCCTCTCAAATCCCCTTCAATCAAGGAAAATTAAACCACCCGGCCACGAGCCCATCTCAGCAGCCCTGGCGCCCGGTACAGCTGGGTTGAGCAAGGATGAGGATGAGCCCAGGAGAAGGGGTCACACAATCTGTCCGCTTCAGACCGGGGGGCGTGTCCCCCAAATGTTTCTCGCTTCCCTTCTACCGGAACGGAACGACAGATGGAGTGCCACCAGAAGCCGGCCGCGCGGCTCGCGGGGCCTCGGGATTTGGTGTGGGGAACAGAAAGGAAGAGGTTTCGAAAGGTGCAGAGGAGAACCGGCCGGCTGGCTCGGCTCGGCCCGGCCCGGCGCCGCGCGGGAGAAGGGGCGGCCTGGGCCGCCGGGCCCCCGCCACGCCACCCCACCCCGGGGGCGAGCCCAGCGCGGCGGCACCCGGTCGGGTCGGGACCGTGCGTACCCGTTGTTCTCCGCACAGCAGCAGCTCCGGGTAGCTGAACTCCACGCAGCTCTCGTCCGTGGGGTCCTTGAGCACCAGCTCCAGGCGAACCGTCTCCCTGGGCGGCCGCGGCGGCGGCTCGGCCCGGGAAGCGGCGTCCCGCGGCGGCACGGGCGGCGGCACGGGCGGCGGCACGGGCGGCGGCGGCGGCGGCTCGGGCCGCGGGGGCTCGCGCTGCGGCGGCGCCATGGGCGGCTCGGCGCGGCTGGGCTCGCGCGGCGGCAGCGGCTCCGCCCGGGCCGGCTCCGGCCGCGGGGGCGGGGGCGGGGGCGGGGGCTCGGCGCCCGCCGGCTCGGCCTCGCGCCGCCTCACCGGTGACAGGCTGATGAACGCGACTCTGCGCGGCTCCGCCATCCCCGCGCCTGCGGCCCTCGGCGCTCGCCCGAGCCGGCTGTCGCCTCGACGCCGCGCGGCGTGCCCGCCCGCCCTTCCTTCCGCTCTCCGCCGCTCTTCCTGCGTCCGGCGCCTTCAGCCGCCTCCGCGGACGCCACCGTGAGTGCGGCCCGGGCCCGCGTCCCCGCCACTACGTTCTGACGGGCTCCGCCGCCATCGCCAGGGTCGCCGCATCCGCCATGTTGGGTCCCCCACATAAATAGAAGCAGGCCGCGGAGCGGGCGCATGCGCACACCCGAGACGCTCGCGTCCACAGTCGTGGCTGTTGCTCCGTTCTCCCCTTTTCCTCCCAACAGCCTGGAGTCCGCACGGCCCGGCGGAAGTGACGTCACGGCGGGCCCGTCTCCCTAGCGACGGGGACGCTGCCCGGGCTCCCGGCTCCGGAGGAGGGTGTTTGGGTTCCCGCAGCGATTTCCTCTTCTCGCCCGGAAACCCAGGCGCGCTCGCGGATCCCTCGGGGCGGGCGTCGCGCGCGGTGCGCCCGGGGACGACGCGGGGGGAGCGGGGTTGCCAGCTGAGGGTCGCGGGTGTCCCCCGCGGAGCGCTGAGGCCGCCGGAGGTGTCCAGGGCAGAAAGGGAACCCGGGCCCCTCCCGAAAGTGCCGCGCTGCCCCCGCCCCGCCCGGCTGCCTGCCGCTCGGGGACGCTCGGGGGTGCTCGGGGACGCTCGGGGACGCTCCGGGACGCTCGGGGGGTGCTCGGGGACGCTCCGGGACGCTCGGGGGTGCTCCGGGACGCTCGGGGGTGCTCGGGGACGCTCGGGGGTGCTCGGGGGTGCTCGGGGACGCTCGGGGGGGGTGCTCGGGGACGCTCGGGGATGCTCCGGGACGCTCGGGGGGCTCGGGGACGCTCGGGGGTGCTCGGGGGTGCTCCGGGACGCTCGGGGACGCTCGGGGGTGCTCCGGGACGCTCGGGGGTGCTCCGGGACGCTCGGGGACGCTCGGGGGTGCTCGGGGGTGCTCCGGGACGCTCGGGGGTGCTCGGGGGTGCTCAGGGACGCTCGGGGGTGCTCCGGGACGCTCGGGGGTGCTCGGGGGTGCTCGGGGACGCTCGGGGGTGCTCGGGGGTGCTCCGGGACGCTCGGGGGTGCTCGGGGACGCTCGGGGGTGCTCCGGGGACGCTCAGGGGTCGGGTGTGCTCCGGGACGCTCGGGGGTGCTCGGGGACGCTCGGGGGTGCTCGGGGACGCTCGGGGGTGCTCCGGGACGCTCGGGGGTGCTCGGGGACGCTCGGGGGTGCTCGGGGACGCTCGGGGGTGCTCCGGGACGCTCGGGGGTGCTCGGGGACGCTCGGGGGACGCTCAGGGGTGCTCCGGGGACGCTCGGGGGTGCTCCGGGACGCTCGGGGACGCTCGGGGGTGCTCGGGGGTGCTCGGGGGTGCTCGGGGGTGCTCGGGGACGCTCGGGGGTGCTCCGGGACGCTCGGGGACGCTCGGGGGTGCTCCGGGACGCTCGGGGGTGCTCCGGGACGCTCGGGGGTGCTCCGGGACGCTCGGGGGTGCTCCGGGACGCTCGGGGGTGCTCAGGGACGCTCGGGGACGCTCGGGGGTGCTCCGGGACGCTCGGGGACGCTCGGGGGTGCTCCGGGACGCTCGGGGATGCTCCGGGACGCTCGGGGGGTGCTCGGGGACTCCAACCTGCAAGCCAACCCTTGGTGAAGGCGTTCGTCTAAGCAGGGTTTGCGGTTATTTTAGGAGATATGCTCTCAGGGGAAAAGAAAAAGAAAAAAAGAAAAGACGTTAGATGGCCCGTCTGTGCTTGGGAGGGGCGTAGGTTGAAGTACCCATGGGAACTGAATTGTAATTCAGGTTTTAAGGAATGACAATTGCTGGCCCTTTCAGTCTGCTCAGTAGAAAGTGAATTCGAAAGCTCGCTTTCTACATCCTCCTGGGAACCCAGGCTTGTTAATTGCTTTGGTGTTGAGGAGCTGAGTCAAAGTGACATAATAGCCTTTTTTTTTTTTTTTTTTTTTTTTTTTAATAAGCTGGTATTCGCTCATCATTCTACTCCTTTCCAAAGATGTACCAAACGGTGATGGAATGTTTATCCCCAAAGTCCCTCCGAGTTCTAAGTCAGGCGTGGAGGTGCTCAGGAAGAGGCCAGCTGTTGGAGTTCTTAATGCTGGCATTCCAGAGCCAGGCAGATCTCCATGACAGAAACACTAAAGGCAAAGCTGTCTGAGATGCTCTTTGATCCACTAGGCTGATAAAGGAGTTAGAAATGGATGACACTGAGCTCCTGAGGATATGTGGAAACGATAACTTCCTTTTATTGCAGGAGTAACCTTTGCATATGGCAATTTAGAAATAACTGCCAAATGTACACATGCTTTAACTCTCCTTTCTGTGACTTTATCAAAGAGATGTATCTTATTACATTTTATTTAGGTGTGTTGGGGGTGGAGAATGGAACTCAGAGGACAGTTTGCAAGAGTGGTGGTGCCCACCTTTAGTCCCAGCACTCAGGAGGCAGAGGTGGGTGGATCTCTCTGAGTTCAAGGCCAGCCTGGTGTACAGAGCAAGTTCCAGGACAGCCAGGGCTACACAGAGAAACCCTGTCTCAACACAAAAAAACAAACAAACAAAAAAACAGAACAAGAGTGTGTTCTCTCAGTGTGGGCTAGAACTCTTAATCCTCAGGCTTGGTGGCAAGTACCTTTACCCATTGAGCCATCTTTTTTCTCTCTCTTTTGTGTGTCTTTCACATCATATACCCGATCCCACCCATCTGCTGCCCATGCCCTCAGCCCCTGCAACCTCTTCCTCCACTCCCCCCCAAAAAAAAAATTTAAGAAGGGGGGGGCAAAGGGAAGATCTTGTCATGGAGGCTGCAGTGTGACACAGTGAGCCAGGAAGTAAACCCCTTTACCCACATATCTACATGCAGGCACTAATCACAAAGAAAAAAAAGATTGGTTGGTTGGAGACCCCTGCTCTCTGCCACACTATCAACACTGGGCCCTCACTGGGACTCTTCCTGGACATCCTGTTGCTCTGTGTCAGATCCTGCAGCCCTGGAGCCCTGTCTCTCTCTCTCTCTCTCTCTCTCTCTCTCACACACACACACACACACACACACACACACACACTCGTCCCAGCAGAGCACAGATGGGGTACATGTTAGGGTGGGCCAACATTTAACCCCAGTCCTGGACCTGGGTAGTAGCAGGGTCGGCCAGCCCGCCAGCTCTCCTGTCTTCACTACCAGGGTGAGCTCTCCAGCGCTGCCCTGGCTCATTCACCCTTTGCAGTGATGAGCAAGGGGTGAGGCCAGTTCTCCAGCGTTCACGTCCTGGGGCGATTCTCCCACACCCACACGTTCAGGAAGTGTAGGGGCCACTCTCCTGAGTGCTGCAGCTGATAAGGGTTAGGGTTGCTCTCCCACCTGAGGGGGGCATCTCTTCCCCCACCCATTCTGTCACATGACATTAAGTCCATTGAGCCAGCTTAACAGCACAAACTGCTATAAAATTCTGTATATTTTTGTTCTTTCCCAACTGAATTGGTTAGATAGAAAGGATTTTTCACTTATTTTACCAATTTAAACTTTTATTTTGAAATTCTTTTTCAAAGCCAGCTCCTTCACACATTTGTTAGTATCACTTTTCTATTTTTTTTTTCTTTTCCTTTGAGACATCATCTTAGTGTGTACAGCCCACACTGGCCTCAAACTCTCATCCTCCAGCCTCAGACTTGGGAGTGCTTGGATTCCATGCAGGCTCCATGCAGAAGCTATATAGCTTCTGTTTTTAACTTAATTCACTTTGGAGTTGATCAGTCTCTTTTGTGACGTTATTTCAGTAATCTTTGTGTAACTTCTCAAGGCCCCAATGTCATCTCGCTTTCATTTTCCCTGGTTTTAATGTTAGGACTTAAGACCCTGTCCCCTGAGCATTAATGAGAATCTAGATTGAATAGGAAAGGTTTTGTCCAGGCACTTGCTAATTTAGTCTGTCTCTTAGTTTTGCTTACTTTTTTCTTTTTTGTTTTTTTTTTTTTCGAGACAGGGTTTCTCTGTGGCTTTGGAGCCTGTCCTGGCACTAGCTCTGTAGACCAGGCTGGCCTTGAACACACCTCTGCCTCCCTAGTGCTGGGATTAAAGGCGCGTGCGCACCGCCACCCAGCATGGTGTTGCTTACCTTAAATGTTTTGGAGCTGGGATGGCAGGGTATTTCCAAGCATTCCAGAAACCCAGGGTTGAATGCCTAGCATAACATGGTAAAATTTGCCCATTGGCATAGTAAGTACCTAGTTTTATTAACTTCTGCTTTATATTGGTGATTTAAAAGTACACGTATATTGGGGTGGGGAGGGAGATGCTGGAGAGATGGCCAAGTGGTTAAGTTCACTGGCTGCTCTTCCAGAGGACCTGGGTTCAGTTCCCAGCACCTACATGACAGCTCACAGCTGTCTGTAACTCCAGTTTCAGGGAACCTGACATCCTCAAGCAGGCAAAAATGCCAATGCACATAAAAAAGAAAAAAAAAATTGACAGGCTGTGGTGGTGCATGCCTTTACTCCCAGCATTTAGGAAGCAGAGGCAGGCAGATCTCTTGTAAGTTCAAGGCCAGCCTGGTCTACTGAGCAAGTTCTAGGACAGCCTCCAAAGCTACAGAGAAATCCTGTTTCAGGTTTCAGAAAACCAGAAGGAAAAAAAAAAAAAGAAAGAAAAGAAAAATCAAAGTCCCCCTACATTTTGACTAAAGAAAAAACTATAATGTTCATAAAAAGTTCATACTCTTACTACCCATTGAAAACTATAGTCAGTATAAAAAAATACACATGCAGGGTGGTGCTAGCACATGCCTTTAATCCCAGCACTCAGGAGGCAGATCTTTGTGACTACGAAGCCAGGCCCTTCTACAGAGGGAGTTCCAGGACAGCCAGGGCTATAGAGAGAAACCATGTCTTAAAAAACCAAAAATAAGTAAACGAATAAATAAAAAATAAATTTTTGGGAGGGTTTTTCAGAGGGTGGATACAAGTGATGGGGAAATGAATGGGATCAAAATGCACGCTGTGAAAGACAAGCGGAATAAATAAAAAAAAGTCTTAAAAAACAACCACACTGGTTCTGTTGAGTCTCCTGACGAGGACTGAGGTGAAAACTGGAGGGTGAGGAGGCTGCCCAGGTGTAACTGTCTACCTCTGCTGCTTACTATCACACCCTCTCTGACCCTTACACAGTCATGTAAGCACTTTGTGTCTCGGTCTCCCCATTTGAAAGCTGGAACTAATGATATGCATTTTGAAGCACTGGTGTTGGGGACAGGTGAGGTGGCTCACCTGGTAAAAGTGACTTTGGCC